TTTTCGCAGTATCCATCTTTCTTGTCTAAATTGAATAACAAAAACAATTGAAAGTCGATATTCAAATGTTTCAAATTAAAAAAAAAAACACAGAAACCATTTGAAAAAAGTTTCATTCGAAAACCTCAAACCATGAAGATTCTATGAAAATTCAAAGTACCTATTGCAATAAAACGGCAATTTCATACTTTAACCCCTAATACTAACCTAATGATCAACAGCTTGTGAGTGCTAAAGCAAGGCATGTAGGTCGTGTCTCAGTACAAAATTTGCCCAAAAGCAAAGCCTGATTTTCAGCCACCACCTACCACCGAGGGTAGCGCGTTGCGGTGCATCAAAAGCAGAAACATTGTGAAGTGAATGTAGTGTCCATATGTGTTAGTGTCGACGTAAGTATTATGTAGATTATAAAATATTTTTCAACACATTTGCTCCTAACGGGCTTCTTATTGTATCGCTTTTAGGCTCATAAACCTAGCTATTGAACACGCGTTTGTAATTATATTACAAAACGTGTGTGTAATAAGTATAGGCTTAACCGGATTAAGATGTATCTCACAACAAGGCCTATGTATTAAAACTATGCATTCTTAAATTATCCGGGTTATGTCTTTGAAATTAACTTGGTCTATTAAAAAAACAGCTCTAACCTACATATTATAAGATTCAAATTACAATGACAGTAATCCCAAACAAACAGGGTCACAGTTTTTTTTTATTTCTGTTTAATACGGTTGTGTAGTCTTACCTTACAAATAATATTTTTATTAATAAATTTATATTTCTTATTTGATGTGATAAATATAGAAAAACATACACAATATACACCTATAAAACTTTAATTGAATAAAATTACTTATTTTGGATAATATTTTACACGAATTTGAGTGAAATAAGGACATATTTATATTATTTCGCATTGGCTGTTTAGGAATTTCACCTAAGTCTCATTATTGCCGAAGCACCTGCGCGCGCATATCCGCGCCGCGACGCCAGGCGCAAAAAAAATAACTCTGCGCGCCAATTTCCATTGATACGTTCGAAACATTTATATACGCTGTGTGTTAGATAATTACCCAGGTGTTTAAAATGTCCTGCTCAAGCACGGAAGAAAACATTTTGATGGATTTAACACCGCCCGAAATCCTCACAGAGGCACAAAACGCAAGTGACAGTTTATTACCTTCGAAATCCAGAGAAAAATACATGGCTGCATATGAAACTTTTATACAATGGAAAACCAACAAAAAAGCGTCTTCGTTTTCAGAAAATGTTTTTCTTGCCTATTTTAATGAACTGGCGAATAGGTTTAAGCCCAGCTCGCTCTGGTGCATTTATTCTATGTTAAAGACCACAGTAAAGAACAAGAATAACATAGACATAAAAAACTATTCAAATCTGACGGCATTTTTAAAGAGACGCTCTGATGGGTATGTTGCAATCGAAGGTACTTTCGCCAACTGACGTCGAAAAGTTTTTAAAAGAAGCCCCCGATTATCAGTATTTAGCAACAAAGGTCAGTTGATCGTATTAAACCTTAATTTTTTTATGTTTTCATTTTTCTTGTATTATATTTGCGAAAATACCTATATTTTTAATTTCTTTACAGGTTGCAATGATATTTGGTGTCACTGGCGCGTGTAGACGCCAAGAACTAAGCGAAGTAACGGCAAAAGACGTAGAAACTCATGGCCAAATGCTTTTGATTAAAATTAACAACACTAAAAATAAGGTACCGAGATCGTTTGCCATTCACGGTCCATTTTACGACATAGTAAAAAAGTACGAAGCGCTTAGGACAGATAAGGCAAAATCCGATCGGTTTTTTCAAAACTACCAGAAGGGTAGATGCGTGGCTCAGCCAATAGGCATTAATAAATTTGGTGCAATGCCTAAAGAAATTGCCAAGTTTTTAAATCTACCCGACCCGGATTTATACACTGGGCATAGTTTCCGAAGAACATCAGCTACATTGCTAGCTGACTCGGGAGCTGATTTGCTTACTTTAAAGCGTCATGGTGGCTGGCGATCTAGCACAGTTGCTGAGTCTTATGTTGAAGATTCAGTTCGAAATAAGTCCAACATATGTACTCAAATAACCCACGCTATAAATCTGGAGCCCCAGGTTAAGAAGATGTGTCCTGAACCGCAGCCATCCACCTCCCGTGATACAAGTTATTTGTTACCTAGGTTGTCTATTTCTGAGTCTTTAAATGAACCACCACCACTTTCATCCATATTTGTACACAATGAACCCGTATCACCGACTTTTACGCAAGAAGACAATAATGAAATAGTAACAAATAATATCACACAGACGGTTCAAATGCCTAACAAAACTGGACGTTACCATTTTGAAAATTGTACATTTAACAATTGTTTTAATAATTAAATTTAAATAACTACATTTTTGATAAAATCAAGATACAATGACTTTGATAGGCTTTGGAGACTCTTAATTAATTGCTATTGATAGATATAGTATAGAATAGAATAATATTATTTACATTAACGTGAGCTTAATATAGTATTCAGTGTATCTATATAATTAATGCCAAATAAAGCTATTTTTCATTTCCATTTTACTCAAGTTTGTTTCATTTTCCTCGCAAATGTGTTGAAAAACGTCGTATGAAACACGTGTGCTTTGATCATTACACTCTCGGCTTTCTTATCGCGCTCGCCTGCGGCTCGCGCGAGTAATAACGCCTCGTGTGTAATGACCAACTTAGCACACTTGTATCATAATGTACTATAAAAAATTGTAACCGTATAAAAAAATAAAAAAATGTAAAATTAAAATTGTAATACAAACTCATAATTAACATTATAATTAAAATAAAATGATAATAATCAGTGCTTAATAGCGATGAAAGTCATTGTAACATATAAAGGATAATAAAAATGAATAAGTAAACAATACGTAAGTATTTATTCAAGTACGTACCCCATAACACTACGGTAGGTGGTGTTTCTCATCCGAGCGGCGATAGCACGGCCGTCACGAGGTCCTTCGCCGATGCTGAGCGATTCTGCAAGCGCACGCGCATACACCCACACCGCGTCGTGTAGCCACGCTGCTTCGACCGGGATCTGTTTCAATGTACAATGTAATTTACCTCAAGAAAACTAGCAAACATAATTTATTTTCTACACAGGTTATGTTCATTTAACAAATAATATTCAATAAACGGAATTTGTAAATTCTGTTATGTTTATATGTATGTAAATAAACTAATAAATAAAATAAAATAAATAAACTGTATATTGCTAATTAAAAATTACAATGACTACGTACTACGTATAGAACAGTATGTATATTTATAAAATAAATTAATATACAACACTTGGCCTCATGGTTTCCGTAGAAACTTCTTACAGGCCACTTTAAAATAGAAAATTAGATGCAAAGTTGGTATAAATGAAGAATATTTATTAATGAATAATCCATACGATACGAAAACGCCACAACAACTTAGCCACAAGAGATTTTTTTAGTTCAAAGGTTCACCAAAATTTTGACAAATATTCTTTTTGGGGATAATGTTAAGGATTGTGGATAATAAATACGATCATAAATGATCGCTTCATAAACAACCGATTGAGACGATAAAACTAGTCCACCAAAATCTCAGGTTACATTACTCATATTAGGGTTAACGATATCAGTTAGTACATAAATCTGTCTCATCGGTGCTTAGCAGTCCATTTAGCGGGATTTATGATATCATGTAGATATTTTGCTGAAGACATTATTTTTTGTTAGGTTAGGACGTTTACATTGATATATTTGTAGATGATTCGATAGACCGACGAAAGCAAATAAAATAAAAGCTATTTATATTCCAACCTGGATATTTTTAAGGTCACGGTGAAAAGTATTATAAATGCGAGCGTGTATCATAGTTATCGTATACGTCTTATTTTTAACCGACTTCAAAAAAACGGTCTGCATGTTTTTCTTTTTTTTACCCGGCTAATTTGTGAACTGATTTTGATGACTCTTTTTTTGTTGGAAAGAGCGTACCGCAATAGACGTCCCATTTAAATTTTAAGAAAATATTCCCCCTCTAAAGGTGGCAAACCAGGGTATGAAACCGATTTCACGCACTTTCCAGTAACCGGTTTCAATAAAACTTGATAAATAGATGTAATTCCACGAACTTTTGAGGTCGGTTTTTATTTATAAAAAAGTTACAATTATGTTGAATAATATTATTCAATAAAAATGTACGAGTGTAGTTAGTATTCGTACTTTCGAATTTTTAGGTTTTCTTCATTGTTACATATTTGAAAATTAAACATTTTCCCGAATCTACCTAATTAGCGTATAATTGTTTTATAACAAATCTACATTTCAGGCTGTTTATAAGTACCAGCTGACCGACATTCATAGTAGCATGATTAATAATTATAACTGTTTTATTTAAAAAACCAACCTCAAAAGTTTGCTTTTTCGCTGTGTTCGTTACCGCGGCCTCCTCAACGATAACTGAAACGCATATGGTAGTCCTCGTCAATACGAATCATATGAGCCCAAACACAAGGTAACTGCTGTTGACGAATTCTTCTCATCTGTCTACCACAATTTACTCCTATAGGAATTACATTTACGTGACAAGTTTTATCGAAGTCCGTTAATAAAAAGTGGGTGAAATTCTTTAAACCCGTAGAGGTAGAATATTTTCTTCAAATTTGAATGAGATTGAGACCTGAGGTACCCCTTTTTCAACAAAAAAGAATCATCGAAATCCGTTTACAAATATTAGAGTAATCACATAACACACACAAAAAAATACAGTCAAATTGAGAACCTCCTAAGTCGGTTAAAAATTAGTATTAAAAAGACATTTATTTGTTTATTTTTTAGGGATAACAAACAGTTGTACTGGGTATATTTACATTAAGAGTCTATACTACCTCAAATGGCTTTGATTGATTCAGCATAACAGTGAAAGAGTTGTAGCAATCACTTTGGAAAAACTATATATAGTAAAATTTAGGATTATACAGTATGAAAACACGATTCTTAAAAATGTTCACGATAGAAAACGAACACAAACTTACCATGAAATTTTACAAGAAAATCGCTGTATTTAATAGGTACTTTACATAAACCAATGATTTTTTTTTATATCAACTGTACAACAACAACTGATCTAAATAGAACGCGTAATAGAATACGATATACATTTTAGAAATCATTTTAATTTCCTTTGTAAAAAAAATAATTCTGAAATAAAGCCACTGCCCTGCCCCTCTACGTAAGCAAAACGACTTATTAGTAGGGAAACATTTAAATTTGAGCTGAGGTAGTATCGACTCTTAATTAATTCTGACAAAGGACACGAACAATCAACAACATTATCAACAAATAACTATTAAAACATCGTTGGTTGTGTAAAGTAACACGGTTGTTATTTATGAGTTTGACGAAAAAAAATAGAACTTTATACACATACGTGGCGTTAACGTATGTCGTCGTTTCTGTTTAAATGCACGAAAATATTTTCACAAATAGTTTCATAATCCACTATGCATTCTCGAGGAAGGCAAAGTGCATAGTTAATTGAAATTTCTATGTTTAGCTGCGGAGGCGGAGGACAGACGGCGACGGGACGTGTGTGGCGACGATGTGTGGCTAAGTTTCATTACAGATGCAATTAATTTGTCGCTGCTGAAGCGATCGAAATTACTACATTTAGTGTAGCTGTATAAATATGTACTTGTGACAGCCTTATTTATTGAATTACCCTGTACACATACTAACAGTACCGTATAGTTATTTGAGAATGGGATTAAATGCCTAACATTGTAAAGATACGGACATTGAAAGACAGGTAGTGGGATGTAGCGTGGCAATTTAGTAATTTGCAATTTACTGACTAAATTTATTATATACATATTAATTTGCATAGTGGATTACAAAAATACGTTGGCAGAATTCAACGGAAAATGAAAGTGAAAGAAAAGATGATGTTTTACTTTGTAATTACAAAAATTGCACATATAATATATGATTTATTACACAAGTGTCTAAGGCTCTAAGTAACTTAAGGGTAAAGAAACTAACCACTAGTTACTCTTCTAAAGTTTGCTTTGCTAGGAATAATAGCCGACCATAGGTACTTACACAGTATTAGCTACGAGACGACTAGGCTACACTGTGTTGGCATTGCCACGAAATTGGAGGACGAAGGAGTTGCTAAGAAGTTTGCACTAGCAAGTGCACTTTCAATGTTCTATATACATTAGGTATCTTGTCATATTCGTTGCATTTTGGCGATAAGAGAGATAATAAGATTGGCACAATCGTTTACGACAATGTTTATTTCTTATTCTGTTGGTACGTATTTATCAAATCCCGAAAATGACTATTAGATATATGTAAATCAGATTTCAATGTATAATATTGTAGATACGATATTTTGCTTCGTGAAGACATTATTTTATTTTTATTAATAAGTAATATAGCATTCAAAGAATTTTAAAAAGTTGTTTGCCTTACCTGGATCCAAATGTGAAAAAAAATGTATAATGTCGATCAAAAGAGTGAATTGTAAGGATGTATTCGTTTTAAGTAACATAGTATCTTAAATTAAAGGAGAACCATGAAATTTTAGACTTAAGTTTAGGGAAATGAATTTGTAATGCGTTTTACTGTCGATATTCGTGCTTTAAGATTAGATAGCCATATTGAGATATCCAGAGTTCTTTTTCTGGATATACGTGAAAGATGTAATATTGATCGATAGAAGAAGCAATTTGACAATGTGGACGAGTTAAAAATGGAAATGTGGCGAATTATTTAACCGACGTCAAAATAAGGGGGAGGTTCTCAATTCAACTGCATGTTTTTTTGAATGTATGTTACGCGATAACTGCTTTTTCTTTTAACTTCGATTTGTGACCCGATTTTGATGATTCTTTTTTGTTAGAAACAGGGTACCTCAGTAGTGGTCCCATTTAAATTTGAAGAATATATTCCACCTCTAAGGGTGGCAAACTAGGGAATGAATCCGGTTTCGCGCATTTTCCGGTAATCGATTTCAATAAAACTTGGCATAATTGAACGGTGTCCCTTTAATTTGAGATACTATGTTAATTCATCATCATCATCATCATCATCATCATCATCATGGTTATGGAGTAAGGAATCACAGGGGGCAAACGCTAGTCAACTTCCTCGAGCACGAGGGGCTCTTCTTGATGAATTCGTTCTTCAAGAAGAAGCCTCAAAGGAAATGGACTTGGCGAAGCCCCGACGCTGTGACTAAAAATGAGATCGATTTCATCCTGACGGACAAGAGACACATATTCAGAGATGTCTCAGTGATCAACAGGTTTAGCACCGGATCTGATCACCGACTTGTACGAGGCTCTCTGAATATCGATGTCAAACTTGAAAGAAGCCGCTTGATGAAGTCCACGCTCCGTCCTAATCCACTCCAGATCATGGCGGGCTCCGAGAAGTTCCATGAACTTCTCGAAGCGAGATTCGTCGAGCTGAAACCCACCGAGGACGTTGACGAGGCCCTACAAAGCGTGGTTGGGACGCTGAGAAGCGAGGGCATCAAATTCTGTCAATTGCAGCGTACGGGAAAGAAGTCTAAACTCTCGGATGAGACTCTGCGACTTATGACGAAAAGACGCGATGACATCCAGGCCACTTCGTCAGAGAGGTCATACCTAAACAAGCAGATTGCGAAGATGGTACGGCGTGACCTTCGGAGTTCCAATACACGCCTCATTGAGGAGGCGATAGAGCGAAACCGAGGGTCCAAAGTATTCACTCAGCAGCTTGGAAGGAGCCACCTGACGAAGCTTACAACGCACGATGGCCTAACCGTTACGTCAAAGCCGCAGATACTCGCCGAGATAGAGGACTTCTATGGCCGTTTGTACGCTGTAAATGCTCCTCGGGTCCAGCGTGACAATCACGATTTGAGAGCCACCTTGACGCGCCACTATACCGACGACCTGCCAGAAATCAGTCAAGACGAGATCGTGTTGGCTCTAAAACAGCTTAAAAATGGAAAAGCCCCCGGTGAAGACGGAGTTACTTCGGAGCTTTTGAAGTCTGGAGGAGTTCCTGTTATCCAGGAACTTCAGAAGCTCTTTAACTTGGTCATTCACTGCGGGAGAACTCCACGGGCGTGGAACAGGAGTATTGTAGTTCTCTTCTTTAAAAAGGGAGATAAAACTCTACTGAAAAACTACCGACCCATCTCACTCCTGAGTCACGTCTACAAGCTGTTTTCTAGAGTCATCACGAATCGCCTCGCAAGAAGACTCGACGAGTTTCAGCCACCGGAACAGGCCGGGTTTCGGGGAGGATATGGCACCATAGACCACATACACACAGTGAGGCAGATTATACAGAAGTCCGAAGAGTATAATCGGCCCCTGTGTTTAGCTTTCGTGGACTATGAGAAGGCCTTTGACTCTGTCGAAACCTGGGCTGTCCTGGAATCCTTACAGCGGTGCCAAGTAGACTATCGTTATATACAAGTGTTGAGATGTCTTTACGATGCTGCTACCATGAGTGTCCAAGTACAGGACCAGCAGTCTGAACCTATCCAATTACGCAGAGGGGTGAGACAGGGGGATGTCATATCCCCGAAACTGTTCACCGCTGCATTGGAGGATATGTTTAAGACGCTGGACTGGAAAAGGATGGGCATTAACATAAACGGCGAGTACATCTCACACTTGCGATTTGCAGATGACATAGTCCTAATGGCAGAATCGCTGGAGGAACTGGATCAGATGCTGAACAGCCTAGCATCCGCCTCGCGGCGGATTGGTCTCGGCATGAACTTTGATAAAACCAAAGTCATGATCAATGACCACATTGATCCGAGACCCATCTGCGTCGATGGCCACCTTCTTGAAGTTGTTTCCGAATACACTTACCTCGGGCAGATTCTGCAGTTAGGTAGAAATAACTTCGAGAAGGAGGCCAGGAGGAGGATTCAGCTTGGCTGGGCAGCGTTTGGGAAGCTACGTCGAGTCTTTTCGTCACCCATCCCGCAGAGCTTGAAAACAAAGGTTTTCAACCAGTGCGTCCTACCAGTTCTAACGTACGGAGCTGAGTCGTGGACACTCACGATACGGCTAGTCCACCAGTTTAAAGTCGCTCAGCGAGCTATGGAACGAGCTATGCTCGGAGTTTCTCTGAAAGATAAACTCCGTAATGAGGTTATCAGACAGAGAACCAAAGTGACCGACATAGCTCTTCGGATAAGCAAGCTGAAGTGGCAGTGGGCTGGACATATCTGCCGAAGAACCGACAACCGCTGGGGTAAACGAGTTCTTGAGTGGAGACCACGACTTGGCAAACGTAGTGTGGGACGCCCTCCAGCCAGATGGAGTGACGATCTGCGGAAGATTGCTGGCAGGAAATGGATGCGTCAAGCCGAGAACAGGGCGAAATGGCGTGCATTAGGGGAGGCCTATGTCCAGCAGTGGACTGCAATAGGCTGATGATGATCATCATCAACCTATTTATATCTATACGTCACACTGTTGCTTTAAAAAAATCTTTATAATTGACCCTTTTGATCGGCATCAATATTATTACAGGTTTTCTGGTTTCATTCATTCATTTGTTCATTTCATTTGTTCGGTTTTATTCCTAGATGAGGCAAGCAAATTTTTAAAAGTTTTTTAATGCATATTATTTACTTTTAAAAATAAAATAATGTTTCCATGAAGCAAATATCCCACTTACAACATTTAAAGTACTTTCCCTTCGTGTCGCATAGCCGCATGACACCTGTATAAAATTTATTCTAATCATTGCTCATTAATATACAAGAATACAAGATATTTATTCGCTGAAAAATGTAGTTTACAATGGTGTTATAGTTTATGTATGTATTTATGTAGGTGTTATAGTGATATGTACTTTCTTACTTACCACTTTCAAGCCTCCCAAAATCTCCAAAGGATTGATGAAGTTAAATGGAGGCATCTGAAGTCGCCTGTTCACTTCCTTCGAGAAAGCTGGATATGATGGTGACGGAGAAGGAGTCACTGCCAAGTAAGATCTGAAGACCCTCATGGCCTGGGCTGGTGGGTCATTTGCTACTAGACCAACAAGATACTGTGTTGCCTGGTCAGCTTTATACGTTTCTACGTCTACACCGATTGCTGCGTATTCGCCTAGACAGAAAAAATACCAAGTAAAAGTATCATACATACGTAAAACAATACGGAAATATAATGATCGCTTGAGCTACTTTCATATGGTTTCTTTGGAAAAACGTAGGTGGATGAGTGATTTAAGCACACTGCATAAAATTACCAATGGAGTGTCTGACGGTGGCTTACTAGAGATTTTGCTGTTCAGAATTCCGAGTCGGTCTGTGCGTAATCAACGATTATTCACTACACCCCTTACAAAAAATAATGTATCAGAAAATAACCCTGTGTATAAGATGTGTGGGTATTACAACGAAATATGTTCTGATTGTGATATTTTTAACTGCGATGTCCCTACTTTTAAGAGGTCACTTCTTGCATTGTTGTAAGGTGAATAATGTGTTCTTTTTTTTTATTGTATAATAATAATAAATATAGCGTCCGTTCCAGTACTTTTGAAAGTTGAGCATAGTTATAATTGGGCCCAGATATGCCTACTGTAATAATTCTTAAGCGTTTTTTTTAATATTGTTTGTATCTGATGTCTGTTACTGTGCCATAAATAAAAAATAAAAATAAAAATAAAAATAAAATAAAATAAAATAAAATATGTGTTTTGATCACAAATTAAAAGAAATACTTCGTCTGTTCAAGAATGAAGATTGAAGTAGTATAAAGTTATATTTATTTTATTTAAACTTTATATGGCACTGCTAACGATAGAAGACAGTAGGTAGGTATTAATATATGTTTATTGAAATATTTTGTACATACATAACTTCAGCGTCATCCCTAAGTATTTTTTATGCGAATATACATATATATCCACGATGTACATACAAAAGTATTCAAGTACAGTAGAGAGCTTATGTAAATCAATATGGTAATAGGCACTATAACTTCATGATTAAAACAAAAAGTCGGATCATATTTGTGAGGTATAATATTTCCCTCATATATCGTAATTATTATTATTGTTGATTTATTCACTCGTTGATGTCTTTACGAGAGAAATGCGAATATTAAACATGGCCCATATCATGTAAGAGAGATATCCGTTTCCGCTTCATTTATTTTGCAAATTCTACCATTTTGGCTATACAGTACAAGACATGGCGTTGTTTATGTATTAGGGTATAAGTAACACAGTCGGAAGCTGCGAATTAACAAGTGAATGCGAGGCTTGTGTTGACCCATCGTGTTTACTCATGATCGATCTGTTTCCTTCAGCCTTCTTTACAGCATACTTTTCGCTTAGTTTAGTTGTAAAGTGCCATTTAGTAGCTTACTTTAATTGTGTGTTATTACTATTCCTACAAAGGACAGTAAATTATATTTTGGTAAAAAACGGTTGCATAACGCACTTCATAAATATAAAAGACAGCAAGAGGCAATAGACAAGACTTAAAGATAAAAGTATTAAAGACATATAAAACGGATGGTGCAGTGGTGCACAAATTCGTTTAATCGCTTACTTTAACTGTGTGTTGATGTTACGTGAACAATTTGCAATTTTTATTCTAAAACTATGCATTTGTTCTTACAATAGCTCAGTTTAATTGTATTATTTCGTAATTGGTTGAGACACTAAAATTCTTATGTTCACATTTTTTATCAAACCTCGCGCGCAAATGTGATTCATATTATGCCCGGTATTTAGTTCAAACAATGTACTACAGTCACATTGTAAAATGGGTATCTCATTAAATTCAAACAATTGAATAATACAGCTATTGTCATAGAAAGACTCATTTGCGAAGATGAAGAGATTTGGACGAGCGCCACTGTGGGTCATTGGTTTGCTTAATGGTGTATTTAGTCGATAAAAGATTACCATTCCTGTAAAAAAACTACTTGTACCTAAATATATATTAGAGAAGTAAGAAGGACGTGTTGTTCGGCAAATAACATTTGAAGACAACTCAGACTTTTTAAATTATCATTCCCGAGAGTTAGGTACAATGCAAGCTACGTTTGGTACGTGTAGTTATTTATAATAATAATAATATAGCGCACACACTCAACATAGCGCCGCTCTAGGGAGACCTTGTGTTGCGGGTGCCACAACCACAAATTACACCCAAACTTACGAGAGAAATAAATGTAGACCATACAAATATTTCTTTCGGCCCGAGAATCGAACCTGGGACCTCTGCCTGCCAGTCGGTAACCATTCGCCCACGGAAGCATTTATAGAAAATAAAAGGCATTTAATTAATGTCATAAATTCTAAACACAAATTTATGCTGGCTTCTGAAAAATTCATGCACATAAATCGCTGTGTTTGAATTTTTGTGCTTCAAAAACTCGTACTTTTGGTTATAATTAATGGCTTCAAAGAGTTCCGTCACGAAATAATGGGGTGTTGTCGTCGGAGCAAGAAACGGGAAATTCTAGACAAATATATCAGTCTCAGCTTATGGAAATTTAACACGTAGCGATTCCTTTCACTCGAAGAAGCCACCCTCGGAATACTTGATCGAGTTTACAATGCTAATAGCATAATAATAACTGACACTACACGTTTTCTGTTGGGATGACAGAAAAATTCCACGAATAGTTTTCGAAGAATCGAGCGAAATTGAAAATGTTATTTTAAGTCGTGATTTTCGTCAATAACGAAGCGCAGGGGATTTTACTTCAAAAAAACATTATAGTAATATTTTTGTCTTTGTTAGAATTTCATGGAATTTGACGAGTTGAGTCTCATTATCGTTGAGTTTTATTAGGTTTTCCGTGTAGCGATTTTCTTTATTTTTATCATCGACCTTTTAGACCCTAGGTACGTATATTAGTAGCAGTAGAGCTTCTTGTTCATTCTTCTCAGGGGAATGTGCCTAAAATAATATTTTATTAGTATGACGATTTAAAGTGTAATTTGCTTACCTATAAAATAAAAATTATTTGACTTGACTTTGTGAAAGAGTTCGTCCTGGGAAGTACTGCCGCTTACCTATTCCTGCCGCTATCGCCAGTAATGTGAGTGACTTAAATCCGGTTTTGAAGGATAAGTAAGAGTGCTGGTGAAATTACAGGCACAAAGGATTTGTCAACTTATGTTTCACGGTGATAGGCGTAGTGGCAGTGCTGCTCAGATCTTTGCAATTTAAAGGTCTGAGTGGCACCGCAACTGCTATGGATGGATAGGGGTGTCACTTTTTACCAGACGACTTGTTCATCCTGTCACTCGGTATAGTAAAATAACAAAAAATATACCTTTATAGTACCTACTTACCAGAATCCAAAAGCTTCAATGCATCCAAAGCGAGCATAAGACCAATGTGATCGTGCCAAAGTCCGACGCATACGTATACTGTTACAAAGAAAGTACTTATTAGACAGCTCAGACACTTATTGCTTCAACGACGTTTATAGTGCAGTACCTACTTACTTCGAGTGTCTTTGTAAGTGTCTCTTACTATATCCAGGAAGGGGTTACGAGTGTAATTCTCCAGTTTGCTTTCATAGTGATAAGGCTGATGGTACACAGCTATGGGATGAACGGCTATTTGTTTCTCCCTTGCCGCTGTTATAATTGCTTGAGCAAGTCTCGAGTAGTCGTGATGTTTTCCTTTTAGATATACGAACGATACCTGTAGCAAACAAATAAGCTGTTATTGTGAAATTTTCGGCAATATTTTCTTAACTATTTGTTTATTTCAGTCAATGTAAATAAGCAACAACTTATGAACAAATTTTATTTATTTTATTTATTTATTTTAAACACTAAGAATATTACAAAAATATATATACATCACACCCTTAAACCTACATTGGTTTGTCCGGGTGCTGCACGTTCTCCTTAATTACATCTTAATATTACATTAATATGTAGGCATTTGATACTTAAAATGTTCCCTATATCTTTTAAGCAAATGGATTGCACAAGAAAGAATTTCATTTATAGCAAAAGAGAATTCTTTTTAAAATAAATTCTCTATTTGAATAAATACACGCTAAATAGGGGGCTACGTCGTGATCGGAGTTACATAAACCGTCAGTCCGTTACACCATCCCGTACCATATGAAGATTAAAGACTTTTGAAATTGATTTATAAAACTACTATGTTATTTGCAGAACTCCAATTCCACGAATGCATCGGAAATTTATTTTGGTTTATAAGTAATTATTGTTGTTAAATTTTTTTTGTCAGATTTGGTTGTGTGAAAGATGAGTGCGTGTGAATTTCTTTAAATTTCTTTTGCACTATCACATTTTTGTAAACTTTTGAATTTTGTAATTATAAATCTTTGTCAATGCAAACCATTTAAGAATTTTTCAAATAAATTTTATCTATAGGTAATCGTGTAAACACTTAACACTTAGAGCCATTTGCAAAAAAAACGAAGAAGAGTCAGTAAAATTGAAGTTAGTAAATATAAAACAGAGCAGGAAGATATTGAAATGTTTACATGCATGAAATTGAAATGGTTGAGAACGGCGACCACGGAGCGGGAGATGTCGATGTCTGAGGGCCGAGTCCTCGCGAACGTTGAGTACACACGCTTGTTTGAGCTCGCCACGTCGCGGCAGAACTGCCAACAAACCGAAGATTGCAGGTATGGATCAACCCCCACACGTCTCACTATCGGGCAAGACAAAGCCGGGTGAACAACTTTACGCGTCCTGAATTATTTGACATCCTTCACGGCTTTGCAGTTTTTTTGACGCTAAGTAAGAGATTTATTATGAATTATGAAATAAAAAATAGAATTGTGAAAGAGTTCTTTCTTTATAAGAGTTCATCCTGGGAAGTCCCGCCACCATACCTCTGTTTAGAGCCAGGACTGCCTGGCATGTGAGCATTGTAGCTATCCTGTTTGGAAGGCGCTGGTGAAACTACTACAGGCACATGGAACTTTTCAACTTTATATTTCAAGGTTACAATGTCAGTGGCAGTGTACCATATTGTAATTAGACATTTCTTTAAATCGAGGGAGGTAGATTACGTTCAGTGTTTAAAAAAGTGTCATTATGTTAGAGTAAAACTTCAAAGGTAGAGATTAAGATAAGTCAAAAGATAGTTAACAAGATTGAATATGAAAAAGCTCGTTAATTTTAATAAATTTATCCACTTCATCAAAATTCGAGCATCAAATTTTCTTGTACGTACGTAATATTTTCACAAATTATCAGTGCTGATGTTTTTTATTTATTTAATTTATTTTTTATTTATTTGTTTCTCCAATCAATAGATGAGTACAATATACATTACAAGTTACAAGTATACAAAACATATAAATACAATTGCCCCATTACTTCTAAGTAATGGTGCAAAGTGATTCGTGAACGCCGCTGCCACAATAATCTGTTTATTTTTTGTACATAATATTAACAGTCTATTTAACTGCCTCTGTGGTTGAACGGTCCCAGGTTCGATTCCTCTCGTGAGTTTGGGTGTAATGTGTGGTTGTTTATGTGTGTGTCCATGGCACCCGCGACACAGGGTTTTCCCTAGTGCGGGGCTATGTTGAGTGTGTACGTTATTATTATTATTATTATTATTACAAATACTTCGAAAGAGAGAAAAGAGAATCTATAATTATTAGTGTAATACAAGTCTTTTACGTAAATTCACAGATATAGTTGCCAAATCTACTGAATTGTAATATTGCATATAAAGTGTAGTAATACATCCGAGAGAGTGGACAGTGCAATTTCGTTATTCATAGGAGCTCTCAAGTTCATATATCTAGGTGCTTATATCTTTTCTATTTTAAGTTGTATGAATTTCAAAGAGATAGTGTCATACTAATGCCAAAGTAATACAAAAGAAATGTTAGAAGACTATTCAATATTCCGACAACTGATAGGAATCGGAAAAATCACAGAAGTTATTTAACAAATGTAAACTTCTCAAGTTGCATTCACTCCTAGTTTCTCACTCTTTCTGTAGGAGCATCGTACCCAGACAGGTACTTATCCACCCGTTCTACACTTTTACTTGTACCAACCCCGAATCCAATTGTACGTTAAAAGTTCTAAAAAATTGACTTATATACATATATACATACACAGTAAGTGTATGTAGGTATATGTAATGTATACTTACATAGCTTATCATAGGTAAGTTAAAAGCAGCGGCCATGCGGCCCTCGTGGACGCAGGTTTCTTGCGGCCCGATAAACGCCGACACGTTGGCTGCCCACAACATCGCCACCTGTTGGTTATCAAACAGAATTAGACTAATTTGTTTATTTTGTTGTAGTTTCCATGGGTCTCTCTAAAGTAAACCGAATTTTGAAATTTAATGATACGATTGAAGTGTTAATATGTAGTGCTCTACTATTAAAATACTGTTTTGAAAGTTGCCAAACTCTACAAATAGTTTTGTGTGTTGTATACTTTTGTTGAAACAATTTACTGAATCGACTAATTTAATATTTTGAATAAAAAACATTTGTTATAATTATTATGAATAATACAAATATCGAACACAAAGAAAAATTTCTTTTACCTGACAGGATTCGAACTTGTATCTGTGCCAAACAAGGACCACCACTCTACCAACTGAGCTACAGATCTCTTGAATTTCTATAAGTGTTTGTTACAGATCTTTTGTATTGGGGTTTTCGTTTTTTATCGCTGTAAGCGACTACGGTGAGAGATCTATGAAACTTCTCACTTAGTCGGTATTTTTACAATTATCAGAGTTAGACGAGAGACACTGTTGAAGAAAATATTGATTTTTATTGAAGATGATATTATCATGATATTCAATAAAAATCAATGTTCCTGTGGCGGTATACCTACGACTTCAATTTCTAAGTCACACAATATTTTTGTAAATGTTTTGAACTATCGCTTACCAAGGACAACTTAATGATGGAACTTCACGTCCAAGAAGGTTCACAACTTTTGGAAAACGTGGGAAGTTCCCAACCTATAACCCAAATTTTCTCTTTAACAGAGTCTCGGGCCCAGTATTGGGCTGTATAATGGGTGGATGATGACGAGTCTATAAAAATTAACTTTGGTCACGTACAGTTGTCATAAGATTTTGAAAGTCCGCTAAAATATATGAATTATTAATCACACGACCAAAAATGCGGAAAACGTGAGAGACAGCGTATGGACCACATTCTTCCCAACTGTTGTGACTACATGTGTGATGTGACTAGAAATGGAGACGATGTATACTATAACAGAAATTAAAATAATAAACATTATTGGACATGTAACTTATACAAGAATTAATTGCATGTGTATGTTACGGGCAATTTGATTAATCGAGCAATAAATTAATTACCCATTAATCATATTTCATTATTATACAAGACAATACAATATTTTAAAAAAAATAATACGGAGCGGTTATTACAAATAATGACTGAGATTATTACTTTGTGTCGGTCCGGATTTACAATGCCCGACTGTCCGTGGTCTAAATGATAAATCGAGCCTTAATTATTTTGTTTTATAACATTGACCAAGACGACGTGTTCATTATTCATACTGATCTAGAAAAGTGGTTAATCATACAGTTTTTATCACATTACTTATTTGATGCGTGCATTATTAATACAGTCCGGCCATTACATAGAAAAGACTAAATTTAAATAATGGTTTGATAAAAGTTGTTATAATGTTAGTACACCCGAATGCAAACGTGCCGAAAAGTGCATTAATTGTGCATTGTGTATTAAGGGCGGTAAATAAGGAGTTTCGTTCGAGGAGGAGGGTTACGGAGTCGAGGTTCGTAATTCGCGTACCGCCCGTGAAACATACAATGTTTTTCATCCATCCATTGACCATAAAGCAATAAAACAAAACTTGACCATAGAGCAAAACAGCAAATGTGTATGAGACAAAATCCTCTGGTTTTTTTTCTTCACATTACAACCATGTTTTTTAATAGTTTTGGTTAATTTGTAGAAAAACTCATTACCGGCTAAGGTTGTAATGAGAAGAAAATATGCTGAAGGTTTTATTTGGAGCATTATAGTCAAGTTAGCCTGCATGCAATCATACTATTTACGTGCAAGTGTGATGAAAAAATATATTAATGAGTATTGAATTGCAATTTATTCGTATAATTATTGTAAGTACATAGTTTGTATCACATTTTACACAGTTTATATCGTACGTCGCCCGATATTCTAATTTCCTGAAGCGACTTGAATTTTAATTGAAATATCGATCAACGCCATCCGCCACACACTGAGCTGAATCAAAATGGAACAGGCAATATTTTTGCTCCATTCAACCGCATCTTATATGTTCGCACATAATTACAACGCCGAAATATACTACGGAGTACGTTAGTGCGTTACTGAGATAAAAATGTATATTGGAAATTCAAATGAGGCGTGAAAAGTAGCAAGAGAGATTATTTCATCGTATGAAAATACTATATTCGGTAATTTATGATCAGAATTATGTTGTAATATTACAGGACAAATATTACATGGGTTCGAATCAGAGCTTCTTCCTTTGAGTTTTTCGGAATGTATGTGCGAAATTTAATTTGAAGTTTACCACGAGCTTTTCGGTGAGGGAAAACATCGTGAGAAACAACATCTGCAAAGCAATGTAATGATGTGTGTGAAGTTCACAATCCGCGCTGGCCTCGTGTGAGAACTACGGCCCTAGCTCTTTCATTGTGAGTGGAGGTCTGCGTCCAACATATAGGCTAACTATTATTATTATTATTACTGGACAAATTGGAAAGATTTCTGTTTTATAGTTTGCTTTGCAGTGGCTACGTAACTCCTTGGGAAAATATCGCATCTCCTCCGATGAAATAGTAGGTAGGTATATTATTTACAAAAAAATACAGAATATTAACGCTACTGAACATAAGTGAAGAGCTCATAAGTATTAGATTTATACTATTTTGTGGGGTGCATGAAAGGAGCCTCACCGCATGACGTATATTATTCCTAAATATATATACATATAAATCCTTTCACCACGTTGGCAATTATTATAGTGTATGCCATTGATACGATAAGAAGATTTTAATAAGAATTTCGTCTTCTATGGAAAAATTAAGGATGTCATTATGGGTCTCTGTTTTTGAATGTAAATCATAGGTTCCCAATTTTTTTGGCTTAGCACCCATTTGGGCAAGATAAAAAATTTCAACGTCCACAAAAAAAAGGGAAAACACGTATTTTTTATATTAACTTAACACTAAAAATCACAAGGAAAAAAATATATATTTGTAGTGTAGTTTATATAGATAATTCAGTTTTTATTGCAAATGCGGTAACCCCCTGGACAGCATCAACATCCCCCAATTGCTTCCGAGGCCCCTAGAATTCAGCTCCCACTGAGGGGCGGTAGGGACCACTTTGGGAAACTATGGCGTAAATCATTGTTAAGTCATACGTCAAATTTTTTGCAGTTAAGTCTGTATTTCATTGTAGGATTGATGTACTGTGAGTACCAGAGCTACGGAAAACAATCAGAAAACCCGGACTAGAACCAATTCTGAAAAGTTAATTTCCCAATTTGGTTCTGACAGGTATCGAACTTAGGACTCGCCATCCAGAGCCCACAATATAACTGTTGCGCCACCGAATTCATCAAGTCGAGGTTGATCACCGTAAATAATTATTTTGACTTAAGTAAATGTACATTTGCTTAAAATTTTAAAGCGCTTGCTACGCCAACGAACCAATAAAACCTACATTTTTTTACTAAACAATTTCAGGATAATGTTAGAGCTATTCCTCTGCAGTAAGGATGTGATATTCTTCCTGATCACATAGAATACAGCGATTTACACACTTTACGCACTACAGAGACGCGGAAAGCCCAAGAGTATTCTAAATCTGCTATTATATTGAGTACGGAGAGCGTTCAGCGACTTTTTAGTGCAAATAGTCCACAGTGCAGAATGATTGATATAATTTCACTTCGTGACTACGTCGAGCAAACCTGTGGGTCAGCATATTTTTTTTTTATAATATTAAGTGACGGGACGAACAAGTTGTGCTCCTGGTGGTAAGCTACACGTCTGTCCATAACAGTTACAGTGCTATTCAGAACTTTAAATCGTCAAGATCTGACGAGCACTGCCACTGCGCCCGTCACCCTTCCATTTCACCAGTTCAATGTTACATTTTGCTGCCAATGACCTCTTCTTTCTTCTTTTCCATCTTTTTGATCTTTGAAATCAAGGTAAAATAAAAATAAATCATAATGAAATATATATATAAAGTTAAAATTACTTAAGGTATGAAATTGAGCAAATTGTGTAAGTATTTAATTATAACAAAACAAATAAAAATAACCCTTTTTATCTAAAAATAACCCTTCTCCTTCGTTCTACTTTCGTTGTGAGGAATAGATTGGAGGTAGGAAAATGCAAAGGATAACCCCCAGATTAGAAACAGGTTCTCTAAATGTAATCAGATGAAGCGCTGATTGTTCAAACTTTATAATCCTTGTAAAATTAGGTGTTATATCCCAATGGTAACTTCGGTAAAGCGTTGACGGGTTTTAACCCATTTTACGATCATACCAGGTTGACGAAGGCTATGAAAAAGTGCTAGAAATTTAATAGTAATAATCGGTCTATTGTAAGACACCGACGACGTCTTAACTTGTATCGTAAACTCTTAGAATGAGACCATCTCCGACAGCGGCTGTAGAAGTTAACGACTCAATTTTGTACTTTTTATAATCCCTCTCTGTAATTGTTCTGAGTCAAGTGCTCCAATATGTTTCCAACGAACCTCTTGCCACGAAGTTTGGGATTAAATGTTTCCAGTTAAAACATTTACAAAGTAATGTGAGTAGTTTACGGTGAAGAAATATTTGTAATATATTATACCTTATATAATGCAAAGTCTGCAACAAAGTGCGAAGCTTGACATTTCAAAGTACGTGAAGTTTGTACTAATGATGTCGAGTGAGACGACAATTTATTTGTAAATACGCACCCTCCCCACACCATTCCAGCAGCGTAAAATGAGTGCAATTCGTTTTCTGTCAGTTACCCTTTGCTGGCACAATAAATAGCCCGTATCAGAGGGTTGGAGTTTCTAGCCTAAGTGAGTTGGAAGAGTACGGCAAAGGAAATGAATAAACATTATCATCTGACAGAAGTTTGCAACAAACGTTGCGGAAAATTTATCGTCAGACATCTTGCGAACATTCAGATTGTTGCCACCAACTTAGAGTCGGCCGTTGTTAAATTTTTTTATTGTCCAATTTCGGAAATGTTTGCTTTTTAACCGACTTCAAAAAGAGGAGGTTCCCAAGTCGACTGTATTTTGTTTTGTATGTATGTTACACGATTACTCCGGCATTTGTGAACCGATTTTGATGATTCGACGGAATTCGAAATTTTCTATTTATAAACTTTCTTTTTTTATGTATCTAGCTGTTATAAGTACTTTAGATATATGCAATATTGGTAATCTTATAAATAGTTTTTATATTCACTGAAATATGAAATCTTCACTAATATGAGTTTGTACAACCATTGAGCAAGCCGTAAAGCAACAACGGTAAATCGTGTAGTCAATTCTAAATTCAGATGGAGAGTAACTACTTTTCGATGTAAAAGTGTATTGATAAATAAAAAACTTTGTCTTTAGGTGAAGGTTATTGCAAAACCATGTCTGCGCCGGGCGGCGACTGATGCCCGCTTTTTATGCACCTCCGTCCTCCCTCGACGCCCGCCTGACTCGACTATTTTATAAGAACCTCTCGCAGACACCATCAATTTTTCTCGCAAATCTACCTAATAGCTTTTCTGCTCAGTGTTTTGTGTAAGTAAGTAATTCTAACGCTCCTCGTCAATACGCCACTGAGTTTTTAGCAAATAAATTGCTCTAAATCTTTTCGCTTTTGTTTTGGAGGTATTATTTACGATTGCTTTTGATATGATGTATAACATCGTAGCTAGTAAAAATGGTAGGTATGCTGGAGGTTCGAAGTATATCCGGCAATACTTTCTCGCCTTTCTCGCATATACATTGATCAAAATTGGGTAAGACCAATACAGATCTCTTTAACATCACCACATTTATGATTTCAGTATATATTCGCTAGAAGAATTTCGTTGAGAAAAGGTTGTATGATATTGGTCGAAAAATCTTTTTTATTATGTTTCCGCGGGCGTAGGATTTCGATTTCCATTCTATGCATTAACAAAACCGATACGTCAAGCTACGCGCGGAGGGAGGTCTTTATTGGCGACCTAAATCTGCTCAGTTATTGTATAGTGCGATATCACAAAAATGGTTCGCATGTTCGACATGAAAGCCACTTGAAAGGTTATTTAGCACAGGATTATAACGCTTGGTGTAAAGTTTTATGACAGTTTTCCTAATCTATTAATTATTTAAAATGTTTGGGTACTTACTTTACGTTGTTTGTAGACTAGATGAAGTTGAAATCGTCATTTTTTTACTGCTAATCATAATGGTTGAATGTTACATAATTTTAAGCACATTGACCTACCCACTAGATCGTTGATGATGATAAGTTCATTATTTGCAGTATGGCGTGATGTGTATGCAAGTTGAGTGCAACGTTTGATAGCAGGGACGCGACGTGAATAAAACAAGTGCCTTTTGGTGACCACCATTAATTGATCATTGCGGTTTCAGGACTAACTAAAATGTTCTCGAGTTCATGGAAATGGAAAAACTTAATTGAACTTTAATTTAAAAAAAGATACGATAATGTTAAAGAAATATTAACGAAAATAACAGACATTATTTTTAAGGCCATAATTAGGTTATGTGATGATTAAATTAAAACATGTGTGTTCAGTAATTGTTGTAAATTAGTTTTTTAGATTTATGAAATAACGTGTAGCTGTACTAATTTATTTGTTGTAATAATTGTCAGTGCAGAATACCCTTATAAAAGAAAAAAGTGAAAATATATATAATGCTTACATGTGTTCTTTTAAAAGGATGAAACGCTGTAAAAGCAGAAAGCAGTCTGCGTACTCGTAAATGTTTTTTTTTTAAGTGAAAACTTTCAGTTCATAATACGATACATATATAGTACAGTGATGACGTCTTAACAAAGTAACTGATATAGAGTTATGAATAAAATTACATTCAAACTCTAAAAGCTTGTAATTAAAATAATAGTTACAGTTGCAAAAAATATTTAAATAATAGTTTAAAAATTTTGTTACAAGTGAGTTAATTTTATAGGAAGTAAGTTATCAACACGCGACGCGACGGTTCGACTCTGGGCCAGTGTGAGTTGAGCCTTATAGTATTTTTTTCTTATTCATTCCAGAAACTTATCGTATAGTTTATCTACTTAATAACGTATATGCACTTACAAAGAACTCAGGTACGTTAGTCTGTTCAGGTAGGTAAAAAAAAAAAAAAAGGTAGTAATTTATGATGGCTAGCTATGCAAAAACCAAATGACTGTCACTAGTTCTCAAAGTTGCAGTATTCTTAAAGTTATCACGAAAGTTTAATCTAACTTAGTAATATTTAATTACATCAAAGATATTTTACGAATCTATTTCAATTAGAATCTTCATTCAAGTTGAACTATTGTCACATTAGAGTCGATCGATATGTATTAATTGGTACCTCACGTATTTCTTTCGAGATTTATATTTCAGGAACACAATATGGTACTTTAAAATGAATTGAAACTTAGCTCTAAACTGCTCCACTTTTAATTTATAGTAATGATGATGTGATGAAAGGCTTATAGTTTTATCGTTCGCTCCCGATACTTGTTTGTAGTGAAATAAATGTATACTATTTTTGTGTTATAAGAATAGGTATTACGTGTTTGGCTGGCTTGATTTATTTTTTTAAATGGGTACTTCAATCAATGTAGCACAGTGCAGCTGAGTGAGTACAGATGGTAGAGTCGAATAAAAAGTGTAAGAATGTTGTCAATATTTGTCTACTCACTTTACATGAGTGTATTTTATTTCTTCAACACAAAGCATGTGTTATAATATAATATTTGTTTTTGGTCATCTATTATTTAGTTAATAAATTTTAGCTGTCGGTGAGCTCTATGTGTTTCGCTTCACCCAACACTATATTACTAATGTAAATACCATTCCAAACGTTTTGCAGCGTAAACTACTACTTATTATTACTACGTGCCAGTTCAATAACTTATTCACGATGACATCGAGATCAGACGTCTAAATCCATGAGTAATGGCCATTGTAAACTTTGGACTATAGTCCATAAAATTTGCGCTTACCAACCCATGGCGAAACTATCTTGTTTGTGAGTGTAAGCCGCAATAAATCGTTAATTTGTTTATTTACTCTGCCCAGTGAGATCGTGAAATCTTGTTTCAGGTACTATAACTCCATAATATTGTAAATTAGGTTTGTAGAATATATATATTAACGATAAAACTGCATATACATTTTTTCTATAAATCCAATATGGGCGCACAACCTGCTTATAATACTGCCCTCCTTATTAGAGATGCCACGAATATTTGGCCGAATACCGAATGCCGAATATTCGACTGCCGCATGTTCAGCGTAAGATCTGTGCATTGCACGCCCTGTTACGACCTGTTTCATTGAGCTGCGTGCGGAGGTAGCACGGGTGGGGTGTTTTTGTTGAAAAATGATAAAACAATACAATCAATATATGTTTCTTGTTCAGTTTCTAGGGTTGTTTTGATGAAGTCGTTACAGATAATATGCATAATAATGAGGATGCGGATAAAGGTTCTATTGCACATGAGATAGGTTTTTATTTGAAAACTATCGCCTAGATCGGACGGCAGATAGGTACTTACAAGTGGTGGTCAGCAAACGCAAAGCAATATCTAAGCCTGTCAAAATTCTAAGGTTTATCTATCGTCTTCTGCATCCTGGCATCTCTACTCCCAATCATAACTAACGTAATCGACATTTCTAGCAAAATTGACTTAACATTATTAGGAATCGGCGAACCGAGATCTACAACTCCGTATAAGTGGTTTTTTTAAATCTTGTTTAGTTTCAGTTTTATTGTTAAGAAAAATCAGCGTAATTGACTTTTCAAATTAAAAAAAAACTTTAGGTGTCAGTATCTCGAAAGTTACCAAAATACAAATGGTCAGTTATGATAAGGATGGCAGAATAATAGTCTTCGACTGCGCTCCGATTCGCAATAACTTTGAAAAAACTTTGGCTCCCTTATCATCTGTAACTTCGGACATTCCTTCCGAACAGGCTTGTGATTATTAAAGTTATTTGAAAGCTGCAAAATGTAACGAGGGTTTACCTGACGTATGGAAACTTCTTCCTGGCCGTAGGTTTCAGCGACGGTGAAATCCATCGAGTGTCCCATTGGTGCCATTAACTTTTCATTTACTTCATCGACTGCCATTGAAATTGCTCCTGTTGGTAAAATGTTAAACATTAAGTAAAACTACGCAAGACTACCCAAGTAGTAATTAATCGCTGGCGGTCCAATTTGGCAGTTAAAACAAACACTGAGGGATTGGTGCTAGATCGGTTGATACATCGGGGTTTAGCTTATCGAGCTATCAAGTCAACTCGGTGGAGTCAATCTCGCAGCAAACTGTCAGGAGAAACTTCGTCACTGTCGACGGATTGGAGTTAATGGAAAATTCAGTGACATGGTAAAGCTCTTATTGGAAATGCTTGCGGCGACTAGTTTGCATTTCACTTAAGTCCGAAGTTATTGAAAGTGGAAAAAACCTACCTAACAAAAATAATAATCTCTTTAATTATGAATTTAATGACACGATGTATCAGATTTGTAGATTTAAAGGAAAAACGCAAACCATTTACCTGATATAACGCGACCGGGCATTTCGTACACGTAGTCTCCTGGTCGGCGCTGCGAGCCTGTGATGTAGCCCACGGTGAATTTATCTCCACGAGAACTATACACCAGCAGTAGCACCAAGTACAAACACCAGTGCCACTGGAAAAACAATGATATAATAAAAACACTGCATACGTATATTGAATTCACACATTGGAATTGGAAAAGGGCGTCACGTGTAGGTATACACAATATGAATTCACACAGTTTCTATAAATTTTTTTGTAATATCAAGTGACGGGACGAACAAGTCGTGCGTATAATGGTAAACTACACACCTGTCCATGACAGTTGCAGTGCCACTCAGAGCTTTAAATCGCATATGTCTGGGGGGTACTGCCACTGCGCCCGACACCCAGAGACATAAGTAACAAGTCCTATGTGCCAATAATTTCACCAGCACCCTTACCCTTCAAAACCTAAACAGAGTAATGCTAACATTACTGCTTGGCGGCAGAAATAACTAAGATGGTAGTTCTTCCCTGGACGAACTCTTTCTCAAGTAGGTCTACTGCTACTGTGGGTACACAAAGATGTGTAAAGTAAGCTTTTGTGACTAGAGAACTTTGGTCGAATGAGCACACGGTAACATTCTTCACAAATTAAATGTGGATTAAAAAAAACTACAGTGGCGACTCGTTTCAAGTGCACACGTGTTACCAACATTTTTCCAATATCGCCTGCTCGTAAAGCGTCCCGAAGTGGTGGCGGTCCGGCTTTAAAACACACGCTTCCAAACCTCTTGTATGGCCTTTTGGTAACTTTTTATAACCCTATATTACGAACGTTGCAACATAAAATGTTCGATACTTAGCCTGTGTTAGCGGGAGAAAGATAAACGCGATTACAGCGCAACATTAATTTTGCCTAAAATTATATCCAAGAAGATTGTAGGTCAGAACTCAGACGGTGTTTATTTAGGAAATTGCAACATCCCAGCTGGAGTCACGCACCGCGAACTTGCAAATTATTTGAGCTCAGTGTATGTGTGAACAAGTGCAAAATGTGTGATGTCTTCTTAGCAAAAACAAATTATCTATAATAATATAGAATTAAAATACAGTCATGGGTAGTGCAGATATTTTGGTTTTATTAATTATGAATGTGCGTATAAAAGATACTGAACAATTATAGAGTTACCAAGTAATCGCCTCAACTCTGTGTTGCTATCTTGCTATTGCAAAGCCAGTTTTGTCCTTGTATGGCAGATACATTTCGAATTTGGTTTTTACACGACGCTCGTTGGGAAGTTTGCCTTGCGCTTGAACGGGCACATAACTGGCATGTGATTATTCGTGATTCGTACCAGTATTTACGCAATGCTATGCGCTGGCACTAAAACCCGTCAACAACAGGTTACCAGTGGACAAAGTGAACATTTACGTTTGCCCGCTATTGTGAAAGTTGACATCACAAATGTAATATTTATTTTAAAGTAACAGCTGTTGTATCGAATGGAACGTGTTTTGAAGAATCATAAAAAGAAACAAACCTACAGCTGTTTGTTTTACTTCAACGTATAAGCATCTACGATACGAAAAGTAGGCCGTTTAATTCGACATACGCCCATGTAACTTATCACTTTACACGTTTTACAAACGTTTACTATACCTACTAGTAGAGAGATATACTAGTGTGACATGGACATGAAAAGGGACAGTAATTATACATCATTATAAGTGTGCATTGCATCGGAAATTTATTTTGAAAAACGGGTTAGCTATCGACACGCATCGGCCGGCGTCACACTAGACGGGACCATGCGGGACACATTTGTGTACAATGATGTAAAAATAGCTCCCGTGGGAGATATTTATGTAACTATGACCGGGTTAAGACAACGACTTTCATAAATCAGGTCTAAAGTTACTTTGTCACTGTAGCTGATATGCATGCATTGCAATTGCACAAGATATTTAATGAAGAGTCTATACAACCTCAAATGGCTTTGGTTGATTCCGCATGACAGTCAAAGTGTTGAATCAATCACTTTGGGAAAAATATATAGTAAAATTGAAGATATACACTGATTACTGTACGGTGTGAAAACACGATTCCTAATAATTTTCACGATAGAAAAAAAAACACAAACTTACTTCAAAATAATGCTTAACGTAAGAAAAAAAATTACAAGAAAACCGCTGTATTCAATAGGTACTTTAAATATACCAATGATTTTTTTATATCAACTGCACTAAATAGAACACGTATATTATATGATATAATTTTTCAATAGGCTTTAATTTCGTTTGTAAAAAAATAAATTCTGAAATAAAGCCAGTGTCCCTGCTGCTCGACCCAAGCAAATGAACCGTATTAGTACGGGAAAAATGTGAATTCGAGCCGAGATAGTGGACTCTTAAAAGAAATGAATTAACGATTCTATATTCTGCTTACCATTAATAACAAAACCGGGTAATAATGACTCAGAAACATTTATAAGAGAGAGATAACAATAGGCGAAACTGCTTAGTGATAAAGACTTCTGACCCTTCACGAAAAGTTTCGGTATTTGTTAGTTCTCACATCTCAGTGATTGAAATCTGACCCTTGACAAGAACGGTCAGTAATATATAGCTGATATTTATCAATCTACTTTTGAAATAGATTGCGTAGCTAACTGTCTTGTGGCTTAATTGGTTACTTAGACATATCTCTTTGATGTAAGATAGTAATTTACCACAGCCTGGAGGTGTAATCAACCAGAGGTTATAAACGGAGAGATTAACAATCGCTTATGTGTATCCTAATTGTTTTGTGTTACAAAAAAAATATGTTCTTTTAACCACTCATAGATGTACCTACAATATGTAGTAAATTTCACATTATGCCATTCATAATAGAACATCGTCCTTAAGTAATGTCATCTGTTAATTAAGAAGACAAACATGAGAATCTATGCCAATGAAGTTTTAGTATGTATACATCCATATTTAGTAGCAGGTAGAGCTCCTTGTGAAACAGTTCGTCCAGGGAAGTATTGCCACCTTACCTATTTCTGCCACCAAGCGGTAATGTGAGCATTAGTGCGTTCAGGTTTCGAAGTAAGAGTGCTGGTAAAATTACAGGCACATGGGACTTGTCAACTTAAGTCTCAGGGTGTCGGGCGCAGTGACAGTGCCCCTCAGATCTTTGTGATTTAAATCTCTGAATGGCATTGCAACTGTTATGGACAGGCGTGCCGCTTACCACCAGGCGTATGATTTGTTCGACGCGTCACTTAGTATTATAAAAAAAAAGAGTTCCTCCAAGGCAGTACTGCCACTGAAATTACAGGCGCATGGGACTTGGCAACTTATGTCTCAGGGTGACGGGAGCAGTGGTAGTGCCCCATAGATCTATGTGATTGAAAGCTCTGAGTGGCACTGCAATAGTTATGGACAGGCGTGTCGATTCTCATCAGGTGCACAACTTATTTCGTCCCGTCACTTGGTATAATAAAAAAAAAATCCACTTCATAAGATCTCATTATAGCCGGCGTGAAAATAAGAGGAAAAATGTAAGTGCGGTCTTGGCAACGCAGATAAAAGACATAAGTAAATAATATTTGTTTATTATTCGTCTTTAAAAGTTGACATAACTATCAAAGAATATTTTACATTATCGTATCTGAGTTTTATAGTATAGAATGAACGTAAAAAACAATTAAATGGTAGAATTGATTTTTTTTAATACGTTTGAATGGTTAGACCTTTTACATGGATGATTTTAAGTTTGTGGTTTTTTCTATGATAATTGAGGACTTTAATTTGGATGTAATTTTCCAGTAATCGAAGAGGTCGATAAGAGTTTACGCGATAAAGCAGCGGGCTTGGCATTGACATAGTTGCCGCGTCACCACGTCAACAGCCCAAGACGCGCACACGCAGGCGAACTTAGTCTGTGAATTAGTCATTCACTGATTAAAATGGAAATGTCTAAAAACAAAAAAATATATTCGCTACATTAAAAATGTGTGTATTTATAACAATTTTTGTAAACTTCGAACTCTACGTAGTGAACATTTTTTAAACACTGCGTATGGTAAGTTTCATAGTATAATATGTTACTTGGGCATCATCAAGGACTTCAAATTAGGTACAATGTTACTTGGGTCATTTGTCTTCTTACTTAAATTAATTTAGGGTGCCACACATTACACCCTTATTGAATTTTTACCTATTTTGTATTAAGAATTATTTTGTATTAATATAAAATTTAGATTTTTTTTATACCAAGTGACGAGACGAACAAGTTGTGCGCCTGGTGTTAAGCGACACGCCTGTCCATAACAGGGCAGTGCCACTCAGAGTTTTAAATCGCAAACATCTGAGGGGCATTGCCAGGTTGTTTTTATCAGTATGTTTACTTTAAGCAGACAAAATATCCAAAATTGGAAAACAAAATTATAGAAAGAACAGGTAGGTGCTCGCAATACAAATAGCTTAAACGAAGATGAGGAAAAAATATACCTAGTGCATATTAGGTACGTTACGTCGCGTTTTCAGAGCATCTCACGGCATTCCGTATACAATAATGTAAATAAATTGAAGCAGAAATTAATTTTAGCAACGATATGTTAGTAATTAAAACTTTTAGGATGAGTATTGCGCGCTCTTAATGCTGTAAACTATTCGTTCTGTAGGCAATTTCAAGCGTTTTACACGTTTTAATGCGGTCCATATTTAATTGTGTAACTTTCCATTCATATGGTGTGCCTGGGACATTAACTTTCGTGTTTATTCCTATGTGTTGATACCTGGATGGTAACAATTCAAATTTAAATATTGGCACGTATGTTTGCAGGTATTCTGCTGTTGAAAAAAATTAATTTGTATTCAGGCGAAGAGCGCCCGTACATGGAATGATCGCACCCGCATCATCAACAAACAATGTCAGATCCCGGCGCCCGCGCAGCCTTCTCGTTGCGCTCGATACATACTAATGCTGCCGTTTTAGAACTTGACAATTTGTACTACTTTGACATTATTTCATGACAATATCCGATATATACAACCTTCTTATCGTGATAATTAAACTTACGTACTTTTCTTTTGTACTTATTAACTTTTCGAAGTCAGTCGAAAACTTACTAGGTAATTAACTTATGGTCCTTATACAAGTGTAACAAATAGGTTTCACCATATTTCAGCAGGTGATCGTATTTTTGACAACAAGTAGTTTTAACTAAAAAATAATTTTCAATCAAGGAACTAAACTTCTTCTTTTCCTTATAAACCTGTGTACATGTTTTAGGAAGAACAAATGTTTGGTTTTGCGAATCTTTTTTGCTAAAGTTGTCTATTACATCCTATAAAATTCTCTCTACATTCTCGAGTCACGCAAATTTACTAGGAAAGACCCACAGTTTTATTTACGTCTAACGAATGATAAGCGAAATAACAGAAACTTAAACTAGCTTACAGTACCTTTCTCCAAAATGAAATTAGGTATGTCTGGTCCGACACCATGTTAATTAGAATTTATAACCACAGACAATAATTGTGTTAAAAACCTGGAAAGACTTACACAATTCAGTAAACAGCTAAAAGCATTTTTTGTTAGTAAATGTTATTATGACTTAAATGAATTTTTTGACAATATATATGATGACAAAGAATAATAATACAAATAAAAATACTTCGACATCTCTCATTAACAATTATTTAAAATTAATGTATTGTATAAAGTATGTTTTCCATTACTAATTAAGAATAATGCAATATAATAATTTAATGTTATGATATTATATTGTAATGTAATAATTTAATATAATTAAATAGTGTGATTTATCAATTTTGTCCTTAGACGTTGCTGTGTCCTTGCAGAGCATCACATGTACTCGTACACCATCAATGTTCCATCTTAAATTTGTAATGTGATATACAATAAACAATTGAAATTGACATTACCAGTACCAAAATAGGAAGGATACTAATAATTTATGAAGAGGATGTATGGTGGCCTAGCCAATAAATGGGTAAATTTTTATACACAGAAGATGGAAAAAAACATTAGTTAACGGAAAGCTAGAAGTAGCATTAGAATTAGAATTCCTTATCAAAGAGTTCTTCCAGGGAAATATTGCCACCGTACCAACTTCAGCCGCTAACCAGTAAGTGAGCATTACTGCGTTCCGGTTTGAAAGATAAGGGTGCTGATGAAATTACAGGTACAAGGGACTTATCAAAGTATGTTGTGGGCGTAGCGGCAATGCCCAGATCTTTGCGATTTAAAAGTTCTGAGTGGCTGTTATGTGTAGGTGTGTCCTTTACTACCCGTCACACGACTTCTTCGACCCTATGTATAAAGGATGCTTGACATCATACAAAAAATAAATTTATTGTTATGTTTATAATATGAAATAAATAAATGTTAAATAACGCACAATATAATATAATGCACACACTCAACGTAGCGCCGCACTAGGGAAACCCTGTGTCGCGGGTGCCATGGACACACACTTAAACAACCACAAATTACACCCATACTCACGAGAGAAATAAATGTAGGCCATACAAATATTTCTCCTGGCCCGGGAATCGAACCTGGGACCCTGCGTGGCATGGCAACCATTCGATCATGGAGGCAGTTTATAAAAAAAGGCATTAAGTAATGGAATAAAAATGAATATAAAGGATTGGACAAGCGACTTTACAAGGTAAGAAATAATCAAAAACGCAGTTTTCACAAGTCCTATGGGATTTTTCCGGATTTCAATTTTTTTTTTTCAATAATGAGGCCTATACAAAATTTATTACGAATTCACAATTGTGAAGAATATCTACATAAACTACCAAGTTACAGGAATCCATAATTACTCGTACATTTGCATAATATAAATTCGATTTGTAGTAACAATTCATTTTAATATGCCGTTATGCCAAAAATGCGTTCAACAAACAATAAAACTCGATTAAGGGGATCGTAATTGCAATTTCAACTGCGCAAAACTTTTGAGTTTGTTAATTTATGGACTAACTTTTGATACCTACTAATTGTGTTAATTACGGTTAACAAAAGAATAGTCGATTAAATTATCGCAAAAAGTACCTACTGGACGACTTAGAATACTTAACTGCCTCCGTGGCCGAACGGTGACGAACGGAACTGGGATCCCAGGTTGGATTCCCGGGCCGGGAGAAATATTTGTATGGCCTACATTTATTTCTCTCGTGAGTTTGGGTGTAATTTGTGATTGTCTATGTGTGTGTCCATGGCACCCGCGACACAGGGTTTCCCTAGTGCGGGGCTATGTTGAGTGTGTGCGTTATTATTATTATTATCGAAAAAAAAATGTAATAAAATTGAATTTAAATAAGTATACATTTTAACACACTACATACACAATATTAATACCTACACTATAAATTTACTTACTTTCCACGCCGCAATTTTCATCTTCTCTAACATTTTTAATATGTATATTCTCACTTTTAATCGTAATATTCATTACCGATTATAAATTTACGATACAAACAATTGAGCACGAAATAGTGGTCCATAAAGAAGGGAATCGGTTTTCCCGCCTTCCCGCAAAGTTTTGCCGCCGTAGCTTGCGGTTTCAAACATACGTGCCGTCGCTGCGGTAGACGGTCGCAGACTGTTTCTGTTCTGTTGCCGTAAATGACCGGTGATCGCAGTTGACACTCTCACTGATCCATTTAAACAAAATTCACATTCTCTTCAAACTTTTCGTCCTTTTGTCGGAGAGTTATATTTATGGCTGTTGAAAATGTTATGTTCCCAATTTTACTGGACTCGTCACTCAGTCGATTAATGTGGAGAAGTTCTCTATCTTGTGAGCAACGAAACGGGTAAATTTAACTTACCCACTCTATTTTCCTTCTTTCTTATTTTATGATACTAAGAGATGGTATGAACGAGTGCGACACGCCTGTCCATAACAGTTGCAGTGCCACTCAGAGCTTTAAATCGCAAAGATCTGAGAAGCACTGCCACTGCGCCCATCACCCTGAGGCATACATAAGTTGAAAAGTCCCATGTGCATGTAATTTCACCAGCACCCTTTTCTTTCACTAGTCCGTTCTCCACGATAGCTGCAGTCATCACGTTTTTATTCAGAAACATATTATTTTTATGTGGCTACTTTATGTATCTTGCCTACATTTTAAAATGCTATCAGTAAATTAATAATTGATTAGGTGTATCTTCTTCATATTATAAGCATACTTCCTTCCGTTTTTCCCACTTATCTTAAGCACTTGAAATTATGCAACGGTTTCGTGATACAGGCGCAGTTGTATGAACGAATTGCATAGGCTCAGCCGGTCAAGGCGAACCTGCTTATTGTACTACATATACAACAGTAGGCAGCATTATTGGTCGCCGAGATGTATAATTTATTTATTTGTAACGTGTCTTTCTTTCATGGTAAGTATATGAATATAAGCACTTACGCATAGTGGAAGATGTCCTCGTATATAAAGTAGTTTCAATGCTTCTGATAAACTTCCATATCTACTGCTTTAGGATTCAAAAGTAAGTAGAAAGTAGTTATGAATCTCGAATGACTATTACGCGATAAACCAGGGGTTCCCAAACTTATTTTGTCTACTGCCTACTTTGAGAATAAATTATTTTTTAGCGCCCCCACTTGTTTCTCCTACTTAAAAACCACTATAACTCCAAATTAAATTTATATTGTGAGCTATATTAGCGGAGATTAAACATTCATTCTAAACGAGACTTTTACTATAACCCGCAAGAGTTAACTTGAGACCTGAGCGCAGTAGGTAGTACACAACGGCGCTCAGGTCTCAAGTTAACTCCAATGAGCATGATTATTGAAACGCAACTTTATGAAGGATGAATCTGATGCTATTTAATAAGTTTGTTGATATCAGGTTCCAATTTACTCAAGAACAGCCGCAAGTCACCACGTTCGGTAACACGCAAACGATTTCTCTTTATAGTAAGCAGCGTTGTCACAGCACTAAAATCACGTTCACACAAATATGACGATGGGAATACTATGAAGAATCGTTGAACGATTGCCCACAATCCAGGGTACAATTGCGGGATCGGTTTTTGTAGCCAAAATTCTTGGTAGCCATTTTTGAACTTGATTTTTGTTTCCTCGTTCGTTGTCAATTCTATAAGTTCTTCTTCCAGCTGAGGTGATATTGCTGTGTTGACATTTGAAAACGGATCCAACACCCAGTCTGGTATTTCCAAGTTCAAAAAGTCTTGGTTCGGTGAAGTCAATGTGGAGGTACGCCAAATGTTGGCAATAGGCAAACAAGTTGTCGTTACTGCAGGATACTGATAAATTCAGAAAATTGTGAAACTTACATCTGCCCATATTCTTTTTGTGTAGAAGCAGTTTGGCTGCGAAAGCAGCAACGACATTATTTATTTTAATTAAATTTAGTTCATCGCCTTGCAGTTGGAGATTCATGTCGTTGAACAATTTATACAGGTCTGTCATGTAAGCTATATCATTCTTTGATGTAATAAGCTTGTTGCGCAATTCTGTATCTTTAGTTTTCAAGAACTCTACCACAGAGTCAAACAGGTTGTATAATGGAGTCAGACAATTGTCTCTTGATAGCCCTAGAGGTCTTGAAAATATGCTACATTCTTGTCTTGTCTTATCTGGATGTATTTTATTCAAATGATCTTGCAGTCTTGAAGGCTTCATTGCTTCATTGGAAAAAGTTTTTAGACATAGAAGGCACAAAGGCGACGATGGGTTTGTGAGATTTTCAATGAATCCGAATTTAATATATTCCGCACAGTATTGCCGTCTCTTCTTTTTTACTTCCGACATTGTTTTGTGTTGTGTGTGTTGTTTTGAGAAATACGTAGGTAAGTGTTGAACTTAAGTACTGTTTATCTATTAAGCGCGAAACCGCAAATGAAAATAAAATAAATATTACGTTGTTTATATAGGCATATGCATAAGCAGCACGCACCGATAGGAATAAGACAAACATGCATAAACTCATTTATCTCATTCGACGCTCAATTGTACTCAACAAGTATTCTATGAACCAGTCTATAGATACAACTGACTGCCCGCGGTCTGTTATCTACGAAAATTACCTATCTAGGAATACTAATAACTATTAAAATGCGAAACTGTGTCTGTTGCCTTTTTATTTGTTTGTTTGTGTCTACTTTCATTTCGAAAAGGAGCGGCTGATTGACATTATTTTTATTTTATTTATTCAATAAAACAGGACATATATGAACTACACGGAGAGAAATATCGAACCGAGTTAGTTTGAGTAATCTCTTAATTAATATTAGTTGATGTTCACAAGTTGTAGTCCAGAGTTGAGAGCTCAGTCGGTGTCTAAGAGTCTTCCTAAATGAAATTACAAATCTCCCCCTAAGCCTCTACACAACGCCCCCATTTTTTTTCTGGGTCTCTTACCGCCGCCCTTCAGGCCTGCAGCGTTATCGCCCACTTTGGGAAAGGCTGCCATAAAGGATGTGACAAAAGGGGTCGTATTCTAGAACTCTACTCAATGCTCAAGTCAGGACGTGAGTATTGCAGTGAGCACTGAAAATCAAACTGAAGTCCTTGCCATTAGGGTCGTATTTTCAGTGCTTGAAAACATACTCAAGTCTGCTCAAATCCTGACTTGAGCATCGAGTAGAGTTCTGGAATACGACTCAAAGGAATACAGAGTTTCTACTACTATTATCTAAGATTCCAAAATACCTACAACGTAAGTTCAAAGAAAACAAGACACGAAATTAGATTGGTTGATGCGACAAACAATATACGTGAGAATGTAATAAATGGTCAGAAATGAATTTATTGTTTATCAAAATATTCTCCGTTAGCGTTAATGCACTTTTTCATACAAAACCTCCGTGACAATCTCTGAAACAAATTTTTCATACTCTTCGACAGCGTTTTCAAGTGATGAAAATCGTTGACCGCGTCACTGGTTCTTAATTTTTGGAAATAATTAAAAGTCGCAAGGTCGGGACTGTACGCGTGATGGCTCATAAGATCAACGTTGTTCACCTTCAAAAATTCATTTGTTTGTCTGGCCGTGTGAGAACTGGCATTATCATGGTGCAAGATGATACGGCGTTTACGGTAATTTTTACGGAGTTTGTCAATAACTTCCGGTAAACAAATGGTCGTGTACCAATCACTATTCACGATACGATTCTCCAAAACAACAGTAGCCAGGTGTCCAGTTTGTTTTTAAAAAAAAAAAAAAAGGTGTCCAGTTTTAAAAAAAAAGAAGCAATCATCCTCGTAGAAGAACTTTGCACGCGCGCCGCTTTAGTTGGCTTCGGCTCATCTCGAAAGACCCATACGCTCGATTGCTGCTTTGTTTTGGGATCGTGACTATAAATCCATGTTTCGTCACCTGTTACTATGTCCCAACCAAATTTGACGCCCCTTCGTTGAATCTGGTAAGCGTGGCATTGCACCAAGTGATGCGATCCGTTTTTTGAGCCTCAGTCAAATTGTGTGGGACCTACAGAGGGCACAGCTTTTTCATACCCAAATGTTTGATTGTATTTGATTCATACCTATGCCTAACGATGCCCGAATCTCATGGTATATCACACGCCTGTGTGTTTTGATCATACGGTGCACAGCATCGGTGTTTTCGTTGTTCAAAGTACTGGACGGGCGACCATCACGAAATTCATCACTGAGATTCACACGACCGCGTTAGAATTCTGCAAACCAGCTATAAATAGTCGTCTTGCATGGTGCTTTATCGCCAAATCAGCTTGAAGCCGAGCGAAGCTCCGCTGAGTTATTAAATTGCGCTTAAAGTCGAAGAAAATCATACTACGAAAATTTTCACAACTTAAATCCATGGTGATGTAGACAACCAATTTCTAATGTAAAAACAAGTGACAGTCAGATGAAACAAACTGTATTCTACAGACAAAGAGTTCCATTTTCAAATGTTGTAATTACTTTTTAAATATTGTTTATGTAAGTGGCCAGTTCCGGAAACTTATAGTGCGGCCTATGTACCTAATCAAATTTCCTTCATAACATTGGAGCGAATAACGATCTCGCATTGAAAATATTTGAAACAAGAAATTGTGTTTATGAGTAGGTATATTCGTAAAAATAACTTCAGAACATTTTCGAGAGCTTCATAGTTTGAATGTATTGAAACTCGATTGATAAATAAAGCTTTTATCGTCGTCGTTATCGCCCAAATTCATTTAAAAAGTTGAAACAGGGAAGAAATATGGTCATAATCATTAATCACGCCGTTATCTTCACTCCTGAAAGATGCCTATAGGCCCGTTCAACGAGGACTTAATAAGCCTCAGTTCTAAAAAATTTGATGGTGATTTATAAAATATTGGAAATCTGGCTACGGCTTGTTGCTGCTGATAAGGCATTGAGTATTAACTTTTTAAATTAGCTTATTCTTTATTTGTTCAGTCTTTCAAACTTTCAGAAATAAACTTAGGAAGAATGAAAACACTTGCCAGGTTTTACGGGACAATATTTATACAGTCATAGTTTAAAAAAAAATGTATTATTATAATCCCAAAGTGTCAAGCAGATACATAATTATCTCATCCTGACGCCGCGACACTTGAATTACCAATAAATGGAACTTTGCAGAATAATGGTAAAAAAATTGAGGTGCTTTGAGGGAGTGATTAACGAATTTTATTTGAATTATTGTAACTGTAAAATGTTGACTTACATATAAGAGAATTGAGACTTATAACGTCTTAAATATTTGAGAAATATAGGTGATTTAGAATCAAAATAAAGAGAATAAGAGAATATTGGGTTTCTCTGTAAAACCAAGTGCATTACTAAGCAGTCATGAGACGGGATTCTTTATATATAACTACGAATTAAAGGAATTTATTTTCCACTTTATCTTGTTATTTCAAACTCATATAATTAATTATTAACAAGGAATAGATAGCACACTCAACTCAGGTTTTAAATAATTACCACAAACAAGTTTTACAACGCTAATATTTTTTCAGAATCTGAAGAACAATATTTAGTCGACGACTTAACTTCATTTCTAGGACATCTATTTACGACTATTTTAACAAGCTCTTACATACATTCGAAAAATATCTTGAACGAGAGGCGACGTTAAACCGCAGCTCAGCCACGGAAGTATAGTCGATTATAATAATATAATGTTTGCACTAAAGAAGCCGACCGTAATAGACAGGAGAGCTATTTATGAAATGGAGTGAATTTCACATTAAAAGTATCATTTATATATAAAAAAAATATTTATTATTACAGGTACTTAAATGTAACCTTCGATTTATGTATATTTAAATAAATATGGATTATTCATAGACGGAGCAGTGGTGTATCAACCAGATCTAAAACACTTTTAATATTATTGCACTTTCTGAAACAAGTAATACATTTTGTTAAAATTGTGTTTCAATTCACAATACGTACTTTAATTTCATTATAATAAGATATCAATCTGGTGTTAACTTACCATAGTAATTTCGGGAAAAATGGTGCTGAGGTTGAAGTTAGCACGTGAGGTAGCAGGGAAGCTAGCAAGAGAGCGGTCCACATTGTGGCCCATCGACTGCATATTAGACGGCATCAGATGACTGTTAAAGTAGTCAGGTTGATACTGCCCTGGCATCTGGTTACTAACGTAGTTGGGAAAAGGTATATCCTCCGACATTAAATTGTGATGCTTTTTAGTTGGTGTTTTATTCTGCCATAGTAAATGAGCAGATTCATTCCAATCTTCCACTTCGGTATTTAGTTTTGCCCTTTTAGTTTGGTATTTTTTGTTAGAATCTTTTTTAGCACATTCCAATTTGTGTTTTGTGGCGGACTCTCTTCTCGAGCCCTTGTAATTAGATGGCACTTTTTCTGGGTTAAATGAAGAATTATTTCTCATTTTCAGTTCTTCATATTTGTGGTTCGAATAATTACATTCTGTTGTTTGGTTATAATCTATGAAATCACCAGAAAAGGGACCACTTGTATAATTTCCAGACATCAAATTGCTAGAGCCAGGCATAAAGTTCGTATAAAAGGAATTGGAAATTGTGTTTGTTGTAGAATTATACAACGTCGTTGCAGAAAACTGTTGACCTGTATAGCTGCTGTTATCAGAATAATCCAAAATTGGTGGAAAGTGTGACACTTGGGCTACGCTATCTTGAGCCGTATTGAAATCAGAATATTTTTGTGCAGGCATTGCAAACTTTGATGAGTTGGTGTCCGGAAGTTTTTGATTGCACGTACCACCTCGTATTAAGGCTTCAGCAGAGTAACTATTCTTTTGCACTTTAGAACTTTTGTCGGGCTTATTCGGCTTTGCTTTAGTCTGAGGATACTGACTCATCGTTTCGTAAGAATTTGATTTGCCTTCGTGAAAAACGTAATAAGGCTGTGAAATATGACTTTCAATGCGAGACATTGTTTTGTGATTTAATTCGGTAGTGGTTTGAGTAGAGTTTTGTTTGACTGGTACGGATTTGGAGATTTCGATTTCAGACCCTTGATAACGCGATGGTAAACTATTATCTGTCGTTCGATTCATTAACTGAGTTACGAAGAAAGAGTTACTGCAATTTTGTAAGTCCGTTTGAAGGCCACTCCTGCTTGATATGTCGGTTTTCTTTTTGTCGTGGGGTCCTAACGCTAAGTCACCGACTAGTGTGGGCAAGTTGATAGGTGGTGGTTCCATAGTTATTTCTGTTGTTCCCGCAGGCCTCGCTGAAGGCCATATTTGTAGTTCATCTTGAGTAATTTGCGACGAAAAATTGTGCATAGATATTGGAAAGTAATTGCCCTCATTTGGATCTACTTTCTTTGAGGTATGATCTAATTGACTATAAGAATGTTTTTGCACTTCCTTAGTATCTAAGTGTGGCGGATTACATTGACTTTGCATAGGTCTGACTTCAGATGTCATCCAATTTATATGCATTTTTGTTGGTGACTTTTTCGTATACTTCTCTGCAACTTGCTGAGGAGCTGCAACATTCGTCGTTTTAATAATACTTTCACTTACATTAGACATTTGCTTAGTTTCGTATATTTTTGAATTATTAACTTTGTTATTTAGCGAGTGATCTACTGGTAGATAATGATGAGATTTGGCTGCTTTTGAATTGTTGCTGTTGTTATAGTAACTCATGTCTTCAGACCACAAACTGGTAGGTTGAGAATAGAAACTTGTAAATGTTTCCGCAAATGAAGAGCTCGCTTTATTTGTTGAGGCGTCTTTTTTGCCAGAAGTCGACACTAAAGGTATGTGAAATTCTGGATTGAACGGGTTATAAGAAGATGAGTAAGACGTGCTTGTTGTATTCAAAATATTTTCTTTTGAAAAAGCATTGGGAGCACTTGTGCAGTTCACAAAATCGAAACCTTTATGTGACCAACCCAAATCAATGTCGTATGTCAATCTGGATGACCCAATTTTCATAAGATTATCTTCAACATTTGGATAATCAGATTTCGTTTTTGACGCATACTTTTCCATTGCACATGGATATAGGCCAAAACTATTAAATTCGTGTCCTGAAGAAATGCTGCTGGTGCTATAAATAGTATTTTTAACTGTGCTAAATGGGTCGCTTTTGTAGAATAGGTTACTGCTGTTCACGTAGCTAGTAGTTTGACTGGGTATAGTCTTGCTTATTGTGCAATCGAAATCTAAAGCGTACGATGAATCTGATAAAGTGCAAGTTGGTGGTATCAGAGATGACATTGATAAATTTAGAAATGGATTTTCATTCGACGTCGTAGTCACTACATTGTTGGAATGCTTGGCTTCGGCTTGCTTACTAACTACGTGGTTGTCTGTATATTTTTGATGCTCATTTTGTTTACTATGATGCATAGTTGAGGAAGTTGTTACTGCTTTACACGTTGATTTGGGTTTGCTATCATTCGTATTAGTTTTCTCATAATAATTAATAGTTTGAGAAGCTACTTCATGCCTTCTTGTGTGACTGTCTTTAGAAGTAACTTGCGGGTGTGTATGCGGATCTTCAGCGGGACTGTCGGCTCTATTTCCGCTGACCAACGGGAAAGACATCAAAAACGCGGCCGTCGGTGAAGCAGCTAAAAATTCTTCCGCCAATTCCAGACGGGCGTTTCCACCGTCGACCGTGTTTTCGCACAATGCTGTGTCCAAAATATGCGAAAGTTTATTTTCTTTGTCTTTATTTACCGAGTCTTTACCTAATGTTTTGTTGGTATCTTTTAATTTTTCCTGAATAATTTTAGTGTCATTATCTTTTTCAATAATGGTCGAGGGAGTTGACACTGGGAGTGTCTTGTTAACTGCAGATGATTCAGTAATTTTAGAATGGTCTGTTCTTTTTGGTATGTTTAGGATTTCTGCAGGTTTAGTCACATTAAGAGCGTCAGCTTGTTTCATACTAACATCTTTATCAATAGATGTATTATGCTTATTTTCTAGCTTCGTGTACTCACTATTACTAACGCTATTTTTGTCTTTATTACATGTATTTTTTGTAATTTCTTTTTCCTTGGTTTTCGAGTTATCTGTAGGAATTAGGTCATTCTGCTCTTTAGCTGTTTCTTTAGTAGGTAGGTCATTTGATTTTGTAGGTTCCTCGTTAACAAGATGTTCTTTAGTAATTTTTGTGGATTGTTTAGGTTTTTTGTTAGTTCTTTTGAGATTGTCTAATTTACTTTTAGTATTATTTTTTCTATTTCTTGTAGCTGATAATGGTCGGGAGTAGGCTGATATAGGTAAAATGTTAACCATAGTGGTTTTAGTAACATCCCCATTGATTCTATTAACTATGGGAAAGGGAGATTTATTTAATGTTTGGAGGTTTGAATCTACTAACACAAACGCTGGAGGTACAGTTGGTAGTATAAAAGGTCTTTGTGGGAAAATGTATGGGGCTGCGGGCAGTACGACAAATGTGTTCTCTGGACCTGAAATAATACAAAACTTATTGTAGCAAAAAATATTATTATTTAAATGCAAATATTATTATGTACATATTGTTAATAATGATGTGAACAAATACTTATACAGGGTTATTATTAAGATACTGAGAACCTCGCAGGACTATATTACTGACATCATACACAACAACTTTTGTTGCATGCATGCATGAATTCCAAGATGCATGAATCCTTCTTAGATAATCTGCCTTACAAAAAGTAGTAGAATTTAAAAAATACCATTTGAAGTAGCAAATAATAAAATGATCTAAGACTGAAGTTTTTAAACTTTTGAAGTTTAAAAACTTCAGTCTAAGAACATTTCATTTTATGAAATATGTATGTGCAAAACTTATGCCAGTGTTATTTCAAGTCATAGTTTCAAAAATTCATAATACTCACCCTTTTTGTCATTTGCATTAGATTTAGGTAATAGTATAGGAAATTTCTGTGGTGCTGCAGTCTTCACAATATGGTTTGTTGCTGTTCTGGAACATTCCACTTTTGACTCAACTGTGACATTTGTTGTTAATAATGGCTTTTCTTTTAATGCATTACGTTCAGACTTTTTAAGCATAACCACCTTTACATATTTGCTATCTGTAACAAATAATTACATAATTGACTACTTATTTGGTATTACAGGGTATCAAATATATGATAAACATTGAATTCCATTTTTTTGTTATAGATTCACTTTCTAACAGACACCTTCAGAAATAATAAAAACTTTAAGTGCAAGTTTCAATTGCATAAATGAAAGTGGACTAATTGTCTATCATGTTGTTGTTCTTGTAGTTAGGCAAGATGAGTACGGCGCATTGCAATATAGCAAGCAAAAACTTCAGTATTTTAAGTAAAATAAATCTCAAACTTACTTTTTTTCTTCTTATTGAAACCGATGAAAACTTGAGTGGATGCATCTCTTTTTCCATTATTTTCTTTAGTATCTATTTTAACCTGCAATGCTAATATGTCAGCTTCTGCAAGAAAATTATTAATTATAAATTGATAGGTAGTCTTTAGAGATATATATTACTTTCCATAGCTCTTATCTGCTAAATTGTTTCAATAACCAGCTATTTGTTCCATCATCACACTGAATATTCCAACATTGACGTTGGCGGAATCGTCGCAAAATGACGGAGCCATATCCATGCAAAACTTGACTTGTGAAACTTAAAACTTTCATTTTTCAAAGTTTTAAGTTTCACAAGTCAAGTTTTGCATGGATATGGCTCCGTCATGTCAGTTATTCTACTGTTAAGCCACTATAATGTGTACACATTCCAATACTTACCAAGTTGAGTTTTCACTTGCAGACAACTAGTCAAGCAAGTAATAGCTTTCTCAATTATTTCTACCTTGGGATATTGAACATTTTCTGCATCTTTAGATAAATCATTTGATCTATTTATTTGCTTAACTATTTTGCCTAGTCTGGTAATGGCATCGTTGAATTTGTTCCGCCTATTGCGCTCCCATTCTCGACAGCGACTGAAAGATGTTAAAATAACACAAGAAATAATAAAACGTAGTGGAAATATCTGTATTTGTCCAAACCAAGATATGAATATGTGAAATTTACTACCTTGGCGTACGACCTTTGGTGGTTCCAGTTGTAGTAGTTTCCATTGGGTCTCCGTTATTGTGATTTATTAATTCTTTTTTATTTAGGTTTGTTATTTTTTATTCCCAATGAAAACGCGAAGCTTTTCAGTCACTTAGTCATAAACTTGACACAAACTGTCATTTTGACATTGACAAATGAAATGTCAAGTGTTACGTCATGTCATCAATTTAGGGATTTTTTTGCTTTGTTTTTTCCATCCTGGCATTTTTTCACGACGCCTCCCGTTTCCGTCGTGTATACTTGAATACTGTTTTATGTATTGTATATAACGATATGATCAATAATCACGTATCGTAATCGGGACGGGAAAATTCACGTTACGTATGCTGCGACCCTAAAGCCCGCTATACATGGTGGACGAGTCTAGACCAACGCAAGCGTAGACAAATTGATAAAGGCTAGTAGTTCTACCGTCTACATGTTGGCCGAGCCTTTTGGGGAAATCCTCCTAGGATACCTCTCCCCGCGTGGGCAGCGGGAGGTTATGCCTATACTTATACCGGCTAAAACTCACGGTGGCCTTCTCGGGTGCTCTAGTGCGAAGGATCTGGGTTGCGCACCGGAACCCTCCCAGCACCTAGGAGGAGCTACGTCCTCCCCCTCCTCTCCTCATGACGAAGCAGGTCACACCGCCCCGTCGTCCTCCTCGCGGCTGCCTAACTTACTGGCGAACGAAGCCCCCGCTCCGATCGCCCACAGCTGTTCGTTGGCTGAGCCTAGGCCAATGCGAGCTTAGGCAAATTGATTAGACGAGTTCTGTGGAGCTGCCCTTGTTGGCCGTTGTAACTTTTCATTGTGCACGGCAACAATATGGACGACGCCGACGTAGAAGTTATTGCAACTGCTGCTGTTTATCTAATGAGCGCCTATAATTATTATAATACGTTAGTGTATAACGCAATAAAGTTGTAAAAAAGAAAAGACAAAAATAAGGTGTGGAATGTTAAGTATCCATAAAAATAGAACAAGTTAAGATGACCATAGAAGAAGGTCTTTGGGGTTCCAAACAACAGATGAAACTGATAGGACTCCAAAAACTTGAAAATGTCTTTTTTTTACTGAGCGATATTTTGCACGTATTACCGTGACCGACGTCAACCGAATAATATATAAGCGGGCGGACAAATATGTGTATACATTGGTAGGTCAATGGTATACACCATTGGCAAAGCGCAGGCGAGCACCTTTGATTTGTGCAGAAAAGCCGACACCGCTTCGAAGTGAGACGAGTGGTCGCGAGTGACGGCGAGTTGTGAAAAGCCACGCCAAGTGAGCCCTATTCACGTTGGCGCTCGTCTTCACTCGGCTAGCTAATAAAATCGGCTGTCTACACATTGATATTGGCCTTCACTCGCCTAGTCTCTGCCAGCCAACATGTATTGAGGGCTTAAGAGTGGCAGGCTCACCCTTGAAATCGGGTAGGGCGAATAAGCGTTTTATAGTCGCTCCTAAATGCGATCAAACATTTTAATTTTAACCAAATAGACAAAAACAACTACTTCTTAGACCAAATAGCCTCCAATAACAGTGACCATAGTAATTCCATAAATGTTAAAATAAATCCGAATTCAATATTTATTTATCCATCTATACCTAATGACATTTTAAAAATTATATTATCTTTAAAAAATACGTATAGTGTAGGTTATGACGATATTTGCACAATACCTGTAAAATATGTGGCTAATTCCATTGCTCTACCATTATGTCACATAATTAACTTGAGTCCCGGGTCCTCGGGAGTTTTTCCTGACAGTTTAAAGTTTGCAAAACTTATGCCCGTGTACAAAATTATTTTCCAAAATTTTTGAAAAAGTTATACATTACAATTTATACTCGTTCCTAGAAAAGCACAATATTATTATCACTGAGCAAAAAGGATTTAGAAAAAATATGTCAACAAATAAAGCAATTTATGACTTAACACGTAGGGCTGTAACGAAACTAGACCAAAGAATTCCTACCTGTGCAGTATTCATGGACATGTCCAGGGCGTTTGATTATGTAGAGCATAAAGTCTTGCTAGAAAAATTAAATAATTACGGAGTAATAGGAGTTGCTCTGAACCTAATTGAATCATATCTTCACAACAGACAGCTCTGTGTACACAGAGCTAAGTCAAGTATGTATCGACAGCGGTTGGGTTAAGCAGTACAAATCGAGGTGTAGAGTTGTAGAGCATAGTGTTCCGCAAGGTAGCATATTGGGACCTCTTCTATTCCCAACGTATATAAATGACATGCCCAGCAGCTGTGGTTATCCAATGATACTATTTGCTGATGATAGCACCGTAATTATTGAAAACACAAACGGCGACCACAATTATTATCTAAACGAGATAAACTCTATTCTTGATAAATAATAACAACCTAAAGTCAACACAAATAAAACTAAAATTATGTTTTTTAATCAGAGAGTGACTGTACCTGACCTAAAAGTTAAATGTGGTGACAATGTTATAGAAAAAGTAAATGTACCAAAGTTTTTAGGTATAACTGTAGATAGGGACATGTCGTTTAAAACTCACTCGCAACAGGTCTGTGCAAAACTATACACGCTTAGCTATGCACTCTACAAATTGTCGAAAACTGCGGATCTCCGAACTGTGGCTTACCGCGGCTTTGTTGGATCTGTCCTTAGGTATGGTGTGATTTTCTGGGGTAACTCTACCTACAGAAAAAACTATATTTAGAGCCCAAAAGCGATGTGTCAGAGCCATATGCAACATTAAATACACTGACAGTTGCCGATCAATTTTCCGTGACCACAGATAACTGTAGACAAGTAGATCCGTGACCTAAAATTATTAACTAGTCTGTGTTATTAACCTTCCCATGTCTGTACATCTTTGAGGCATGTATCTTTGTTAAGACGAACTTGAGTGAATTTCCAGAAAAAGTTAAGTTCACAAGCGCACTTATTTCGTACCGGAAATATATGGTCCGAAGAAATATATGTAAAACTTCCCAATACAAAAATAGCGTTGTTGATATGGCACCCAAAATATTTAATAAAATTCCAGACGCAATAAAAAACCTTAGTGGAATGCAATTCAAGCATGTATTAAAACAATTATTAATTGACAAGTGTTACTATAGCATAGAAGAATATTTTAATGACAGTTTCTTAGAATAGGTAAATGCTGACAGTTGGGTACCATTTAGTTATTAATATTTTTAGACTTCTTAATTATTATTAGTTTTTTGACATTGTATCCATTTTTCTTTTATTTTTATTTTGACATTACATTTTTATTTAAATGACTTCGTATGCCACTTTGGCTTATTGCAGAGATTCCATGAAATTATTATTACGATCTATATCATGTACCTGTAATAACGAATGAATAAATGAATTGAATTGAATTGAAAAAAAAAAATTTGGGAGATGAGTTTGAGTGGTTTCTATCTACCAATAAATATGTTGAAAAAAATTAATAAATGTTCTACGTGTATCGGAGCGTTAGAATTACGGGTGACAGTGGCACTGTTTTGCCAGATTAGGCGATTTTTCGCCATTTAGTCTACTTTGAGGGGTCGCACGACTAAAAAAGTGGTTGTCGACTCAGCAATATTTAGGCTATGTTTGAAATAAGAAAAGGCGATTTTAGGCTACTTAAAATGTTTGAGGAAAATTATAATGGGGAATTGCTCCCGGACATTGGGGAATATGATCTTCTTATTTCCCCAATTCCCCAAAATCCGACAACAAATAGAATTGTAGAATTGATTTTTAGGGATTTTATGGCTTGGGCGAATATTGGCTACCAAACATAAATTGGCGAATTAACTTCACAAAAGTCTGACAACACTGGACAGTGGTACTATAGTTATTAATTAAAGAGTATTCGTAATTTGTATTGTATGACGAACATGTCAATCGATCAATTAATTAATAAACTGGTTCAACCACTTATGCCAAACTAAAGAAGTCTGTTAACAAAATATTATTTCCAAGCAACAAGTTTTATATAATAAATATCATTTGAACAGACAAATCGAGTGAGTTAAGAAAAATGTAAATAGTACCACTTAATTACTCATCCAACTAACTCGATTTTCATACGCCCGTCGTTGTTTGTTGATTTTGAATAGCTATTGGTGGGTGGTAGTTTCATTGTGAAATCTAATCCTGGCGAAGTGCTGACGTCCTATTTTATTCTATTTCAATTATTTATAATCGGTGAGTAATTTATTCAACTTCATACATTTATTTTTTTTATGGTGCAATAGTGTCAGTTTTGTTCATCGTGTGTGAATGTTAAATAGGTCAATCAAGATGTCTTTATACCCTTCTCTGGAAGATATGAAGGTGGATAAAATGGTGCGGGCGCAAATGGCGCAGTATGAGGCGTCGCCTCCTGCCTACCAGCCAATGCATCATGCGTTACCCTCACCAGGCTATGGTGCACCCAACGCCCATGTTTACCCAACTCTCGGTGAATATATGGGCCTCGAGCTGTCTCAAGATGTTATTGCCCTCAACATGCCAGAATATCAAGTTCAGACAGTAAGTTTATTGCATTTAATAGTGGATTATATTGCAATTTTAGGAATATTAGATGGTATTTTAAACTTCTAGAATCTAAAATTATAATTAAATGTCTATCAAATTATTCTTATTAAAACCAAATCTGGACAGACGGTACATGAATACCCACTAAAGTAATTATACCATCTTAATTACCTTCAGTTTATGAACTGTTCCAAATGATATACCTATCTCTCTCTTACCTAAAGTTGTTTATTGATAGTAATAATTCTTTATTTCGGACCATTAAAAATATCCGTAGTATGTTAGTATGAGAATTTAAAAAGAAGGTTAGTATAATACAGTGCAGACTAAATTTATAACTACACTATAAATTGGGCTACGCCCTTAGGTTGCTCTATCTAAAATTTTACTATTGGACAGTCACAACTTCCCGATATTGCACTTAGAATACTGTTGGAACCTTGCCTCATGCAACTCAACAGTGAAACAATCTTTTTCTGTATAACGACCTCGAAACTGTCCTCGTGAGCTTCTGCAAACATGGCCGAGGCATTGCATTATTTTGGTAATCCCATCAGCACTCTAAATGTGTTGTGATACTGAATGCGCAGGGCACTATAGCCACGTTTCGTAAACCTCACCCACAGGCTACTCGAGTAGAAAGATTGGCTGCTCTCAAACCACTCAAATCTTTATAAGTGTAAAAGTTACTCTGTAATCACAAATATAATACATGCTATATAGTGTTTGTATATAGTGAAGGAGGCATTAAGGTACAGATGTTTTTGTAAACACTTAGGTCATGCTTGGTTCACTGTATATAAAAGCATCCAAGCTTTAGTGAGATCAATGTGTCATACTGTATATCTAAAGTTATTTCCTTTTCTCCTGGATATTTGATGAGATTACAGATGTTTATGTGGGGCTCTTTTCTACCAGTATTTAAAAAAAAGTAAAACTAAGAAACGCAATATAATAGGAACGCTTCATCATGATCTGTGCAACAGTTGTTGCTGAGTATTTGTTCTTGCCACACAATCCTATGCAAGACACTTGTATATCATGCTACCATTCATTGCAGTGAGCAAGCTGTCTTCAGCTTTATGCACTACTGTATATACTTCCCCTGATAAATATTACAAACAAGTTTTTACAACATTTTATCAGTTGGCATATTCTACACTCGTAAGGAAAAAAAGGCACAACTATGCGTACTTTATACAGCAGTTGTGTCTTTATACGTTGCGAGGGCAGTATGGACCTACTTATAATAGAAGCAAAGACAATTTGTATGAATCTGAATCTGTTGTTTTTAATCATTGTTAATGACTTGTGCAAACTGACAATAATGAATTCCAAAATTATAACTTACACTAATGATGTTATAATTATTCATGGTAATATTTAGGATGCCCATTAGGTGCCCATTCTTATGCAGAGACTGCTAGCCGCGTAGTTATGGCTTGGCGTACGAAAATCCGTGATCATAGTGTTACAATTGTTGTTTATTATAATTTATTATGTAAATCTTGTATTTGTTTGTAATAAAATTTTTTTTTTTATTATAGGTACAATCAGGAGGTGCTGTTACTAATTTAATTGCGCCGCTATCATCTCAGTCAATATCCCTACAAAAAGCAACAGTCACTCAGGCAATCCGACAGGTCATTTTGTGTAAGGATAGAGATGGAAAATGCGGTCTAAGACTTCACTCTGTAAACAATGGAGTCTTTATTTGCTATGTTCAAGCAGGTAGTCCAGCTGCATTGTCTGGGCTACGCTTTGGTGATCAGGTCTTGGAAATCAACAATGTGGCTGTTGCTGGCATGAGTATGGACCAATGCCATAATCTTTTGAAAAAAGCTCCGTCTAATGGGATCAATATGGCTGTCCGTGACAGGTTGGTTATTTGTAATAATAATAACGCACACACTCAACATAGATAGCCCCGCACTAGGGAAACCCTGTGTCGCGGGTACCATGGACACACACATAGACAACCACAAATTACACCCAAACTCACTAGAGAAATAAACGTAGGCCATACAAATATTTCTCCCGGCCTGGAATCGAACCCGGGGACCTCTGCGTGGCAGTCCGGTATGGTAACCATTCGGCCACGGAGGTAGTTAAAATTAATTTGTGCAAGACAGTTTTGCCCACCATTGTTCAGACTATTGTGCATTAGTCATCTAATGATTAGAAAATCGTTGTCTGCAAGATTTGTAAATGTATTGCCAAATTACAAATTCACTACTTCTGGGATGGTTATAAATTGTAGAGTTAGATTACAAACTTGCACAAAACATAAGTATACTAGGTTTTTTGTTTATATGATGTGATAGCAAGTTTTGCGTATCTAGTTCACATCATCTTTTATCATCTGCATAGTAGACAGTTGAGCATATTTGTATAGAATTAATGAGATTGGACCTTCTCCATTTATTAAATAGAGACATAGAAAAAATAACAAATAATCTTTGAAAAAAAACCACTAACAGTTATGAAGCATAGAATCAACGCACTCTTTCTAATTTATGTTGACTAATACATAGTATGTGTTACAATTTTAGACCTTTCGAAAGAACCATAACTTTGCATAAGGATTCCCTTGGACACGTGGGTTTCCAATTCAAGGATGGAAAGATAGTTGGTCTGGTAAAGGACTCCTCTGCAGCACGTAATGGAGTTCTGACTGACCATCAACTTCTCGAAGTAAACACAATCAATGTGGTGGGCATGAAAGATAAGGACATATCAAAGGTTATTGAAGAGAGCCCTTCCATTGTAAACATCACTATTATTCCTCATTATATCTACAAACACATGATAAGCAAGTGAGTATTTGCAATTGCAACATACATACAAATTGATAAACTAATCTTACTTTAGTTCTACTGTTATGTTTGGTATGATAATTGGCCAAATTAGTATACCAAGGTACAAATTGTCTTTCTGTGAAAATCTTAATATGGGGGATAATGTGCCATTGCTTGCTTATGGCTTTGATTGTATTTATTATTTAATTATGGTTAAATTACATCTACCCAGGTCAAGTATAGTCATATATGAGTTGATACAGTACAACAATTTTGGTACAGTTATATGCGTATGCACGTGTTATAATCTAATATGCGTTTAACACGCATAATAGATTACGCGTGTTAAATGCATCAGCTGCAGTCACTGAGTTCGATTTCAAATTTCGCGTTACTTAATTCAAGTTAACTTTTTTTTTTTACAGGATGTCTTCATCACTATTTAAGGAAGTGGATCGCACGCCTGCCGTCTAATGAAATAGAAGTGGAATCTATACCACGAAATGATTATTATTATAAAGGTAGTTTATAAAAATTAAGGGAAATGAGAATTGAATTTTATTGGCACATGTTAACTGAAAAATCTTTGCTATTTAGGGTAACGATAGTAACGTTGTCAAAATGTTTTCATAATTTCAATTACCATTTCCTATTCAAGTAAAATTTTGTTAGATGAATGGATATTCATGTACTTGACTTATACACCGAATCGATAATGGCGAGAGTTATATTCGTTTTCTTTGGAATACTAATAAGTACGTAATTTTTTTTAATGATAGTGGCATATTCTTTGCAAATATTTATTACTGTCCATAGGTTTGGGTTCGGTGTATGGGTTATAAGGCTAAGCGTAAGTACTGTGGTAATTATTACGCAAATTTTCATAAAGTCCTACTCCTAGGTCAAATGTTTTGCAGCAAACTTCGCACACCGATTTTCGTCGCAGTACGTGCTTAGCCTAAGAGAGTTTATTATTCATTTGTTTCGACAAGTCATTCAAGGAAACTGCGGTAAATAAACCGTTAGCTCTCTCAAAAACCACAGTGCAATGTATGAATCATAGAACAGGGTAAATCACTGCCGAAAAATGATAATTGAATGACTGTAGGTATTTACTGTTACGCAAATCGTACATTGATATTTGCGGTTTTTACTTCGTTTACATTTAATACATATCGTTGGTGCCAACATCTACACATCTCATTTTCTAAATCAGTATTTTGTAGAAAGCTGGGTTCGATTACTGTGATGCCATTTAACATCAAGTGCGGCACATTAAGTAGTAAAATTGGTTAATATTCATAGTTTGATTATTTTTACTGTTACATTTAAAGTAGTTAAGTCAAGAGAACAGCTGTTTGGTATCCATTTTTTAATTTGTTTTTAAATTAATACCTCTCCAAGTCAATTACGGCTGTGAAAATTACTGAGTTCTTAACCAAAAAATTACATCTTCGCGGCATTTAATGTTGGTGTATATTATTTAGTAAATGTATAATGTCTTGAGCAAGTCCACTTTACACTGAGCCACGCGACATAAAAGTCAATGGAAATAACATGTAAAAGTTTCCAAATATCGCTTATTAATGGGCACTGCCCACTATAAACCGACCGAAGACCTCTAATATTCGATATTTATAAATTTTACTAGAAATTCAGTGCGAAGTGTATACTGCCTGGGCCGTACTTCCTCTGTGGGGCTAGGACGATAAGGCGCGACTTGCGTGAGAGCGCCAAAACGCTAGATACTGTTATTCTAGCATAGAGATAACAATATCTCGCGCGCTTATTTCTCTCTCGCTCATGTCGCCCCATGTCGCGGTAGCCCTAGTATTCACTTAATTGACTTTGTAACCTGGTTTGATTATCATATGTTAAAGGAAGTATGCCATATATTAATTACATGAAATTTTGTGTGAAGTTAATGTAAAGTTATAGTAACTCTGGTTTGTTGCTAAGGTATTTGAATTTATTCCTACTTGTAAGTCATTGACTATTGTGCTAAATAGATCAGTACATTATGTAGTTGCCCGTTGACATTCCTTTATGTTCATTGTTCTTGTTTTGTAAGTATAACTGCATTAATAAATAGACTCTTTATAGCACATTAAGTGCACTTTTTTATTCAAGTATATTTTGTAGATTAAATCGTTTGGAAACAGGGATATCGATTGATTTACCCTTGTTATCTATAAAATGTAAGATGCCATAAATGTAATGTAATCAGATAAATGTTAATTACTTTTTGATAAATAATTCCTTTATTGCACTGAAATTTTAAATATAGTAGAAATTAGATGAGTAAATGTATCTATGTAAGGCGAGAAAATGTAATTCTAAATATTATACTTTAAACTCGATTTACATTATTGCAGTACTTGAACCGAATTTTGGTAACGAAATTGTACATAGCGTAGTAAGGCTGCCAATAAATGGAATGCACATCTGGAGTTAAAGCGTGCAGTCGTGATCAACTGCAAGCAGTTGAGAACTCAACTGCACGGGGTCCAGACGTCAACTGCACACAGTCGAGACGTCAACTGCACGCAGTCGAGACGTTAACTGCACTCAAGACGTCAACTGCATGTAGCCGAGACGTCAACTGCAAGGGACGGCTGCAGTCTGAAACTACTTGATTTTTATCAGTAACGGCAAAAGGTAACGATTACTTGAGAGTTTGATCAATTGGGGAAACTTCGGATTTACATAATTTGCACAATTCTTAAATTTTTTTGGAATTGCATCTGTTTACATATTTGATTGCCAATTTCACCGACAAATTATGCCTTATTATAATTGAGCCTTTCGGTAATATGTTTATTTCCTTAATAAACAGTAAAGTCAGCGTTTGGAATAATAAACGTTCTGAATACACTGACAACATGTTCCATTTCGATATCAACAAATACACTGAGCTCCTGAAATATGGTGCAGCGGGTACATACTTGATGTCAGACTGCTTGGAGTTGTACATATCGACTTCGCACATGCAGTCATCTAGTAGCAATCTAAACGTTTTGTTAATTGTATAACGTACTAGATACGGTATGGTAGCTGGGGGAATTCCCGAGACTACGCGAGAATTTTCCGAAAGACGTGCGACTGTTTTGCGGCTCGTATCTGGTTTGTACGTTGCGCAATTTATGTTAAAAAGTTCATTATACTATGCTTACAAAAATTTGCTTCCATTTCGTTCCGCAGTAATGCAAATTGAGCCTACATCTAGAAGTCTTTAAATAGGTACCTACTAGAAATTGTTGACCACAATTCCAATTATTTAGATTTTGATTAAAATTTGTATTCACATACCTATTTTATATATACGAAATAAAAATAATTTTTATTATAATGTTTTTCATTGAAGAACATCTTTGAACAGGCAATGAAAACAAATTATTTAATTTTATTAAAAACTTTAATGAAATATTTATTTAATTTACTACCCGTACATAAAACAGTAAAACAGTATGGTTGTACTTAAAAGTAAGACAGCTGTAAAATATAGACTAATAAATCTAAGTCAATCCAGTATCTCCAATGGATTTTGGAACGTCCAGTTCGGTTTTAGGATTACTTTTGGACAAGACCAAGATTTTGGAATGAAGAAGCTGTCATTTTCTGATGGCGGACAATTCTTGCGAGCGAAGTATTCCATGGGATATAAACTCCAGAGAAGACCTGCGAACAGTAGTTAGACACGTGTAGCCAATTCCGTTCAAAGAGTTTTCATGATTAAGTTAATTCATGTTTGAAAACTTAAATACACAATAATTGATTGAATAGGGTCGTATTCTAGAACTCTACTCAATGCTCAAGTCAGGACATGAGTATGATTCAAAGCACTAGAAATACTCAAGTCCTTGCCATTAGGGTCGTATTTCCAATGCTTGAAATCGTACTCAAGTCTGCTCAAGTCAGGATCGAGTGCTCTAAACCATACTTAAGTTCTGACATCAGCATTAAGTAGACTTCTCGAATACGACTCTTAGACAGTTTCCTTGTACCTTACTCTACTCTACCATAGATTTCGGATTTCCCCATACTGTCCCATTTAAAAAAAACCACTTTATTAAACATTTTACTAAACATTTTATTTTGCGTAAGTAATTCACCGAAATCACAAAAAACTGGTTGTTAACGCGTACTCGACCAATATGTGGGGTAGCTGACAGCAGACTTTTTATTCGCTAATCTCAGAGGAGTTTTCACACCTTGAATTGTAAAGGAAAATTTTGGCTGTTGACCGTTATAGCACCATGTTCTTTTGAGATTTTGAAGCATCGACGTGCCAAATCTTAGAGCTCACGATTTATAGGTGTACCTAATGAATAATCGAGTAAACTTTTTCGAGCAATTAATGTTTGGTCACACGGCATTTGATCTCAAGTAGCGAACCCGTCTCAGGGCTATGTGACATGGAGGCAAAATACTGTAGATATTGTAGATATAATATTTTGCTACATGCAGACATTATTTTATTTTTAAAAGTAATACAGGATTCAAAGATTTGAAAAGTTGTTTGCCTCATCACGGAATCGACCCGATCAACTGGAAAGAAAAAAACCTGTGGTTTTTCTGATGCCAATCGAAAGGGTCAATTATAAGCAGCAACACCATGAAATTGTATTTTAAGTTTAGGGAAATTAATAATAATGCAAAACACATTATACTATCGATATTCATACTTCAAGGTGGGGCTCCAGCTTACGATATCGGAGAACAGCCGAATCCCTTTTCATTCCTGGATCGGTACGCATGGCCCAATTAAATGGCAGGCGAGATGTACGGACACTAAGCCTTAGTGGTTACACACGGTTAAAATCGCGCTCGTGTGTAAAGCTAGACGATTAGCGACTACATCGCTACTGCATCGCTGCTAAAAGGCGCCATGTGTAACCGCTCTTAGATTTATTTTTCTGAAAATACGTGAACAAGTAATTTAAGTAAGTTTAATAAACAAGAGGCCATTTTTAACAATGCGAGTGAGTTAAAAACGGTCTGGCATTCTGTTCCGGATTCTCGACCAAATAAGTGAAAAATAATTAATTATACTCAGACGTGATAACGAGGAAAACGTACTAATGAGTAATAAACATTCAAGTAAGTGGAGCCCAAATATATGTGCTTTATTACACTTTCGATCGGCATCATAAAAACGTTTAAAAATAAAATAATGTGTTGTTTAAGCAAAAATATTCTATTTACAATATTCAAAGTACTTTCCTTTCGTGTCGTGTAGCCGTGGGACATCTTTTATACTTCACATGTCTTCACATCTGTATAACTTTTAGCCATTGTTTAGGGATTTATATGGCTAGAAATGGTGATTACTAACTGCGTTATCTTTCTTCGAAACTACAGATCAATGAGTAGTGTGGTCCTTAGTAGTAACGCTGAAAAACATATAGTTCTTTACCATTGCCTATGAAGAAACCAAACCACATATACAAATTCAAAAAGTTGGGGAACCGTCTGCCACTGGCTGCTGTCAGTGGTATCATCAGTAGTCCCAGCAAGCCGAACTCAACCATCAGCACTGGGTAAAAAAAGCCGAAAGACAGGGCCAGTATCACCTCGTGAGCTATGGCCGAAATCTGAGAAACAAAACACGTGATTGTAAGTAAAAGTTTTTTCTTTATACCAACAAAACCTATGTTTTCAAAGCGACATTATAGTTTATCATCAAGGTTATTAATTAAAACAACAAGTGGTAATGGATTTCGGAGTTGGTACAAAGAAATTTCAAATTTATTTCCGTAATTTAAAAACGATATAGGTACCTACCTACACTTAAACTCCGCCTTTTCCTATAAATTACTCAATTTACTTGGTGTTGACTACTAGTGAAACAAAAAAGAAAAATGGAAAATAAAGTTTTAATTTAGTGAACTTCTAAATCGATACATTACGTCACAGGTCTATAAAATAAAAACAGACTAAACAAAATCATAATTGTCTTATGGTAAACAATGGTATACTTATCAGTTTTGACCTAACTGTCTCAACTTTTCGAACAGTAAACTATTTTTATACAATGGTCAATAAATACTACATCACCTTCAGATTGATGCATGGTTAACTGAGGGCAGTTCTGTACAATTTGCAAGTAAAAATATATATTTCGATTTTGCTTTAGGTGCCTGTACAAGTTCAAATAATGCACAGGTCTTGACACATAGAGCTTCGGCATGCCTGTTAGATAACCGGGAGCGTGTATGGGTGTTTAAGGAGTTTTTAGTTGCCAAAATACTTGACCTACAGCCAGGTTAAGTACCTATTTTGCGTGCCCACGTTGAACCTGTATCCCCTATAGAATCTAATCTCAACCCAGACGACATGGAGGACTATTATTATCCGTCACTGTGGCGTATTTGTGGAAGAAAACATGATAATGGCTGGGGCCGCATTGTCTCCGCTGGCGGTAACGCAACAAAAGCCAGTTGTCGTCAATTATTGCTCACAATACACGTCGCGCTACGGAACCATTGACTTGTTAATTCCTAATTAGCTGCCTTGTCGGTCGGGACACAATTAGGCGAGATTTTGGTGTAGAAAGCTCGAAATTAAAATTAATCTTCCCAGCCTTTACAGGAAGTGGTTGCGTATTAGGATAACGTAAATCTATGGAAACTTTTAGTTTTTTAGGTTGTTTTTAGATAAATTGGAAGATTTTTATTTGCATGTAGATAACGTATTTTGAAGCAGTGGTGCAGGCTAGAGAGACGCACGTTCATAGTTTATAAGGTCTTATGTCGTATGTCCTAACGGATTTTGGTTAGTATCGAAAATAAATAAATAAATATATTGCGTGACACTCAATAAATAAGCTTATTGAGTGTCACGATGTTTGACCACCATGACATATTATTATTTTTGTGAAATTACGCCAGTAGTTTGTTATATTATTAATACAAAGATCGAATACTTCGAAAAAATCCTTCGATCCAGCTGGATTCGAATCAACGTCTTCTAGCAAACCGTGTCAGACGCTATGCCAACTAAGCCATGGAACGAACCAGCGGACCTTACGAATTTTTCAATGTGCTTGTTGCAGTTCTGTATTTTATTTTTTTTTAACGACTTTTTTTGCCGTAGCATAATAATAGCACAATCTAACCAATTAACACAGTCAGCCGACGTACACATCTAGTCAGAGCAATCGTGCGGGGTGTGCGAGGCGAGGGAGGGGCGGGAGCAAGCCCGAGGTGCTATACGCTCGCTCGGGACACACCATCAAAGTTTTTTACGTTAAGTACATGTGCTTTTAGAGACTGCTTGCTTTTATTCATTATCTATTTGAATTTGGTATTATTTCTTAATCCAAGAGTGCGGAAAATTTTTTCAATTAAATTATGTATGGGTATCGTCTTCGGTGTTTTAGTGGGTGCTCGTTACATATAAATATGGCATATATGGCGGGAGCAGTGGCAGTGTCCCTCTAATCTTTGCGACTTCAAGCTTTGAGTGGAACTGCAACTGTTATGGACAGGCGTGTCCCTTACTACCAGGCTCGACGACTTGTTCATCCCGTTATTTCGTATCATAAAAAAAATCTATTGATTTTTCAAATAAATGCAATATGGGTATCATTTTCGAGGTATTTGGGGGTGCTCAATACGAATATGGCACTTATTTCTATACCTATTAAAAGTTAATTAAATGCTTATTATTATTTTCAGATGCAAGCTTTGGATTGAAGCATGTGGAAGACTAATTAATCGGAAATACTTGGAAAAAATTGAGTGAGAGAGCGTTTTGTTTAAAGTAAAACTTTAGAACATCAAAATATTTTTTAAATTACGTTTCTTGTATACTAAACACTACTACTACGCATACTATAAAACGGCTTGTGAGAAAGCCCCACAGCAACATCTTTTTTTATTATTCCTAATATGGAGATAGGAGGACATAGGAGTAGTAGGACACCCACCCTAACAGACTTAATAAAAAAACACAGGGTGACAGTATGACGTAATGTCTAGACGAGAGGGGCTTTTCGCGAGACTTCAAAGGTAATATCCCACTGTATGTTCTTTACACTGTGAGATAGTTAGTAATAAATTTTAGATACGTTTCTCTGATCCCAAAGTAATTAACTAGAGCACTTAGGTTATGGAAATCCGAAACAACGACGTTACCACAAACACCGGTACCACAAACAGACCCGAGACAATGTAGAAAATTTAGTTTTCTGCATTGATCCGGCCGGGGATCGAACCCGGAACCTCAGAGATGGCGACACCACGAAAATTGGTGTGCAAGCCACTCGACCACGGAGATCGTAAACGCCTATAGATCGTGTATATGTTGCTTTTTACCAAAAATAAACTAGGTTTGTACCAGGAATACAGCCAATGTAGAGAGAGCGCGTCCAGCGCGCGGCGACAACGGCCGATAGATGTGGTCTCTCAGCCAAGCGTATACCACTCTATTCCATGCTCGATAGTACCGCGAGAATTGGGATGTTGTCCACCATTCCTGTTAAAATTACGAAGATAAATACCTCTTACTGTATGCTTAGTATCAGTAGACCTCCTTGTGAAAGTGTTCATCCAGGGAAGTACTGCCACCTTACCTATTTCTGCCGCCAAGCAGTAATGTGAGAATTACTGAGGTCCGCTTTGAAGGGTAATAATGGTGCCGGTGAAATTACAGGCACATGGGACTTGACGACTTATGTCTCATGACTGACGTAGTGGCAGTGCCCCAAAGATCTTTGCGATTTAAAGTTCTGAGTGGCACTGCAACTGTTATGAATACGCGTGTCGCTAGTGCCTAGTGGCAAGCGACACGCGTAGAAAAAGTGTTTCACGATTTATTACGAATCATTAACCACTCTACAGGACCACCGAACACATAAATTATAAACAATGTGCTTGGTTCCTTATATTTCGACTCCCTTGGGCGACATTATGTTTTCTGGTGGAAATAGCGTTGCGGCTTTTATAATCCACTAATTCAAGTTCCACTAATTTTCATGTTTGTTTTAGATCTTACATAATTTAATAACCTATCTGGGCTAGGTATTATTATTACTGTAGGAGCAGTAAAAATATTATTTAACTTATGATGGTAAAAGTATATATAAAAAATTCTTTGATAATTCCTTTCGAAACTGAATACCTACACTTCTTCTTTCGTTGTTCGTACGAAAGGACGCAACTTTAATTCCAACAACAATGATGGAGTTCTTACTTTTTATCATTCTCGGTCCCCGTGATGCTTCATTAATCTTACTTTGTCGTTCACAACATATTGAACGTAAACTTTTAAATATGCAAAGTTGCGACCTTTCTAGCACGAAAATTTTCAGAGAAAATTATTTGGAGGGACGGGGCGTGGAACTTGTTTCCATTCATTATCATTCTTTTTTATTAGACAAGTTTTGATGAGTTCCCTGGTCAACATTGTGAAATGTGGCGCGCGGTAAACTGGTTTTGTCATTTTCGTCAACTACGCATTCAAATTCGATATTCAAGATGGATGGAAATTCAATAGGTTTCTAGTGCGAAGCTGCTGACGTCTAACAATGAACTTTGGCCTTCTAATTAAATCTATATTGTGGTTGCAAACTGCTCTATGCTCAGAGTGTCGGATTCAAAACGGAATTATGAAGCAAACAATTATCTGACACCAACGTAGGATTTGAAAACTGCATTTTATCACGTGGTCACTGGGGTCTTTCTTACCTCATAAAATAATCTGTCGGCGAATCTGAGAATTTCTGCAAACGCATTCAACCACGCATGAAGTAGCACGTAGAAGCCGCAGAGAAAGGAGATAACGCCGGGAAGAACGCAAGAGAACATGCTTCGTACCAGTACCCCGGCTTCCACCTGGAGAATTTCTGTGATGTAAAACCGTTCAAAGTACAGAGACTAAGTTAGTCAACACATTTTACAGGTCTTATTATTTCATTGTAGAAACTACCTTGCGAAATAATTTTCAATAATCCTTATTTTCAGAAATACCGGCAAAAGTAGGCAGTACATTCACGTCTCAAAAAATCCCATGATTTTTATTTCTATTTACAATTCGACTTTAACCTACTCACGCACCGTTGGTTTTTTTCCGTAATCCGACCAATTGGGCAGAATAAAACGCTCCCACAAAAAGCAATTATAAAATATAACAGCAGCCACTTCCATGAAATAGAACATCACTACGCGCCATCTTGTCTTCTTTGTCCTGTGAATTACAAAGAAATGGAGATATTAGATCTTTTATTTTTCATAGGTGGTGGAGTTTCATCTCTTGAAAGTTTAGGATCCGACGTTGTAACTCTACTTCAGTACAATCTTAACGGAGTAAAACACTGTAAGTCGTGCTTTGTTATTCTACATATTACATAATATTATATTAGCGCATTCGGTGTCAATAGAATGTTGCCGAAAGCACCGAACTCCCTTTGCGTTGTGTTGTTTGACACCGCGAAATTTACTACGCATTCAGATCTATTCTGCGGTTGAATATTGTATGTGATTGTGGCGGTAATTTTCGACGTTACATGACTCACAACACCGAAGTCAATACACAATTCGTTAGAGGGTAATTCAATTTCGTTTGAAATTTCTAGTGTTATATTATAACATATCTCCGCACTTCGTCGGCGTCTAAACAATAACACAATACTTACTATCTAGATTCTGAGGTTACAAAAATATGATCTCATTAAATATTGCTATTATTAATATAGAGCTAATAAAATATTGTTTATTATATCATAAGATAAGTCACATGAATGTTTATTGGATGTGTCGTTTTATTTATATACGAATAGTTCAGCATATTCTGAAATATCCTCCGCCAGAACGTCTTCTAAAGTATTATAAGAGGCAGAAGCGGTTTGTTTTATCGTATCTACTTGTTTTAAATTAACATCAAGCAAAAACAAAATTAGTTGATACATTTTGATAGCACGTTGTGTGTTGGTACCATGGTGCTATGAGTAGGCCACATGGGTAATCTAAATTTTATATTATAGGTACTGGAAAAGTTATAAAATTTTGCTCTTGCAATATTGCTAGCCGCGGAAATATTGGTCGCTCTCTTGTGCACTGTATTTTAGACACCCCAACACCCTGTCGGGAGACTTTTTTAAACGATATTGAGACATGTTTATTTCTTTAGGGAAAATTGACTTATATGTTTTCAGCACTTAAGGTAAACGAAGGAAAACTTGGAAGTGAATTTCTGAAAACGCCTGTTAAATAACAAAGTGTCTAAGCAACAATAAAGAAAAACTCAATAATTAATACATGCTTTTAATTTGGGCTTTAGATAAACAGCGTTTAGATAGAGGTAGTAGCTTTCAACGTTAGTGGTCGATATTCCTATACATGACCGATAAGTTATCAAATGGCTTGTTTATTTTACGCGCGTAATATTAGTGTACCTACATACATTCAAAAGGTTTTACGATCCAGCAAATGTGTATACCTACATTTCGCTTCGTTAACGACCTTTCACATGGTAGGCTTACGCTGTAAAAGTAGTCCCGGTCTTGTTCAAAGTATGTTAAGTAATTTCCGTATTCAACATGCAATGTGATGACCTACATATGTTACTTAAGTACATTCTAGTCGATACCACAGACATGTAAAATTATGGAACTAATTAGTGTTACGCCATAAAGTTTTTTTACGTTACGTAACGTGGTAAAGCGACAAGCTCGTATCACTCACTCAGAGCTTTAAATTGCAAAGATCTGAGGGGCACTAATGCCTAAATATGCCTGTAATTTTAAAAGCACCCTTACCCGTGAAAATCGGAACGCAGTAACGCATTTGGTGGCAGAAATAGTTAAGGAGGCAGTGTTTCCCTGGATGAACTTTCTCACAAGAACCTCTACTGCTACTAAGAAGGTACTTGATTATTTTTTAAGACAGTTACTAGTATGTTATTTAAAATGAATATAATATACATTACGATAGGCGTCAGGAGAAGTTTCATTATACATTTATTGTTTCCCTGGTTGGAATAATGCCACAGTAATATGTGTCACAACTTGTGTATCACAAGCATAAATTTGTTTATTGTTGATGCAACATTGGTATTGAATTTTAAATAGCGTATTTATTACTACAATTCAGGTCATATTGGGCATTCACGAGTGACTAATCGCTTTTTGCGTCAGACGTTTACGGAATGTAAACTTAACAACAATAGCTTTTAGGTTCAGAGATTAATATTTTTATTAACCGCTCATCTTATTAGTGGTTTCAATGTAAAGGTCATTGCATCCCGATTGTAATAAATTGCTTTTAAGTAACGCCGTGTCATTCGCTTCAACGGGATAGTGCTGAGATTACCAAGCGATATTATAATGAAAATATTGAATTAAGACAGACAAGAAGAGACATTAACATTAAGAATGCCTAAACGGTGCATTTTAAATTAAATGAACCCACAATATTATAGTAAAAGTTTGTGTAGAGTTCTTCGATTTTCGCGTTTTTTTTATAAATTTATAAGTGCGCATTTGACTTCCATTTCATTTAATTGTTAGCGAATCGTGACATCAATTTATTTTATTTTGTTAGAAAACTTGCTTTGCTTCATTTAGGATTAGTTTGATCGAAATAAGAAATAAATTGATATCATCAGCGTATCAACGGAACGCTGACGGGCAGCCGCCATTGCGAAAAACATTTTTGACAAGAAAGGACGTGGTTTTGTTTTGTTTGGATTTATAGTGAAAATACCTTATAATTTATAACAGCCACTGGAGTCTCATTTCTATGTCTACTATGAAAACCTCACATGATGGAAAGTGATGATGAGGTCGATTGCGTAATATTGGAGATGAAACTATTTATTCCGGATTTAAATTGCGTGTATTTGGGTTACTTACAGGCTTAGAGGATAAGTTTACAGGACTCATGGTCTCGGCGGACAATACCTATACCACCGAATGGAACAGCACGCCATTGTTAGAGATATTATCTTTATTCAGCCGTGGCCATGGGACCTGTAAAGATCCCGACAGGATGGTTTGTTTGGGAAATCAAATATACACGATTTACATCCAAAAAAAGAACTTTATTTCCAAAGTGTATATCAAATATTTATAGGCGGTCGTGTAAATATAAATTTTAAGCAACTGTCGATTTCCGAGAAAGCTATGAATAGAGACGAAATGTCATTGTATTTGTTTGAAAACTATTCTGCCATATCATTACTGTGAAAACTGCGCTCCGATTGGCCAGCCCCAATTCGAAACGATTGACGGGTGTCGTCAATGCGTGTCGTCAATTGTTTCACTTCAAATCGACCAGTTAACTTGAGCTTTGCTATAATGGACGAAAATTATAAAAAATACATATTTAATATTTAATTACCGATGAAATTTGATTTTGTTTGTTTTGTAATTAGATGTTTTGCTGTTTTTACCTACACCACCGAATGGAACAGCACGCCATTGTTAGAGATATTATGTTTATTAAAATAAATACAGAATATTTTTGGAATATACGGAGACCTGTGTGTACACAGGTCAGTTGTTGGCCTGTCTTTATTTCAGTTCAAACGAGTATGACACTTATTTCGTCTCTATTTCTGGTTATATACTCGAGAGCTACAATCAACTATTCTGTACGTGTGTACATCTAGGTGTGCCAATACTCCCTTTTCATTTATGCAACCTTAAGTTTCGTAAGCATCAGGTTCTCAACTAAGAATCTTTAACTGGCGTTTGTTTAAATTAACCGAAGACACGATCAATAATTACCTACATGTGAATACTATACTAGTAAGTAATATCTCTCCGCATTATACAAAGCAAATAGGTGTAGGTACTTTTTTTTTATTAAAAATGTGTTGGCATTATTATCAACAGTACTCACTCATACCCTTGTAGATAGATTTTTAACCGACTTCTAAAATGATAGACTTTATCGATGAAAGTATTTTTCGGATCTAAATCGAGTACCTATATTTGTCTTTTTCTTTACCTGTAGAGAGATCGAAATTTTTTGTTTTTTGGTTTGTTTGAAAAACGAATATACGCGCTTTATTCTATTTTCATGATAGAATATCTTCAAAATCTCTTAAAATAGAATTTTACAAAAATATTTTGAGATTAAAAATTTTACTGTTTGCTTACAGGACGATTGTTCGGATAATGCATATCAAGCGATTGAAGAAATCACTTGTGAATTACTCACCTCGGATATTGGTCCCTGTACAGAAGTGTAGGGGCGAAGAGGAAATAAATATATTGCTTGAACGATGGCAATGGAATACTTCTGTTGTGGCATCGGGGAGCGCATACAACCGCCATGGCGTAGATTTTCATCGCAAGTCTAAACTAAATTGTAAGGCGAGAATTTAATACAATAGTTATAGGTACGCGTAGCAAGTTCAGGTAATAAAATATTCAGTTTCATATAAATATTAGATAACATCACATACGTTGCTCTGATACCAAAGTAACTAAGTAAAGCACTTATGTTATGGAAATCGTCAACAACGGCGGTACCACAAACACTCAGACCCGAGATAATATAGAAAAGTTATGTAGTTTCAGGATTGACCTGGTCAGGGCTCGAACCCAGGACCTCTGAGATGGCGAAACCATGAAAACCGCTGTGCAAACCAGTTAATCACGGAGGTCGTCATCGTATCATATCTTTAAATAAATAATAATAACGCACACACTCAACATAGCCCCGCATATCATACTGAAGACTACATAAAGGTTTTTTTTATAGCATCAAGTGTCGAAACGAACAAGTCGTGCGCCTAATAGTGAGCTATACGCCTGTCCATAACTATTGCAGTGCCAGAGTTTTAAATCGCAAAGATCTGAGGGGTACTATCACTGCGCCCGTCACTCTGAGACATTGACAAGACCCATGTGCCTGTAATACAAGACTGGTTAAAAGGATTAAACTAGAATGTCACTGAAAATTTAGTATCTGTTGTTACGTAATATTAATAATATTAAGATGCTAGCTAATGCATTTGAGTATTCATGTTTTATTGTAATCTATTGTTATTGAACAAAATATGTTGACTAATCATTAGGCTATAATCACCGATTTGGTTAGGTACCTAAGATACAAGTAAGCAGTTTTGCTTAGTTTAGGCATCACCTAGATTAATTTGCACTATTAACCTTAATTAAAGTTGTCTAAACATACAATAATTTCACTGTTTGCGATAGTCTGGTGCATATATGTAAATAAAAGGTTATTTAATAACATTCATGTATTTAAGGTAAATTTTTGTACAGAATAAATTTATCTTTATCTTTAATTTCACCAGTACCCTTACCTTTAAAAGCCGAAAACAGTAATGCTGACATTACTGCTTGACGACAGAAATAGGTAAGGTGGCAGTACTACTACTACTACTGTACGAACTTTTTAACGAGGAACTTTACTGCTACTCAAAAAGAGTAGATATGGGCATTGATCACGCTATTCGCTATTCCTTGTGATTATTTGATATAAATTCTAAATTAGCTAATTCCGAGTAAGTAGGTAGTATAAGCACTAGAGAAAATTTAAACTTACGATATTTTAGGTACCCACTTATTCGAACAAAAACTCACTAACCTTGGTACTTGTTTGAAAGTCTGAAAGTAACAACATTTAATGAAGTCACTTTGAGGCACACTGCATTTCTTAAATTTTATTACCATTTTTCTTTTATCCGAGACAACATAATTAAATGGAGTCGTTTTTCAAGGAAAGTAGGGTAATTCAATTTTTTCGCATAATTCATTTAGTTTGAAACGTTATTATTTACCAGTAGGTCCTGTGCGTAATAAACGTAATTTTTTAAGCGAAGAGATTCATTTCTTATCGCCTAACACAATGCAAAGTAGCGCTATGCTTATATTTATTCATTTATAAATAACTAAAGAGATGTGCAATTACCATAAACAAGATAAACTTTGAAATGTGGCTATCTACATTAGGCAATAATTAGTTGTGTAATAAGATTAGATTTTTGCTACCACATTAATTAATTGTATGGAAAAATATAACTGTAAGTGAAGTAATAAAAAAAAACACATTATGTTAGAATAGGGCACAAACCTTTACTAATGCCAGTGAATAAGTGGATTACTTTTCTGCTGTCCACTAACTAATTGGTCAAATAACCGTTTTAAATAGCAAAAAATAGATCACAAAAGTCTCTTTTAAAAACAGTTAAAATTAGTTAACGTGTTCTTCTTATCGTAACAATTTCAATATTCTTAAACGGGGTTATGGTTTTTTATGATATCTCAAAAAATTATTTTATCACTTAGCCGCGTTTTAGGTAGTGGACGGCAGTTTTATTACGCGGTTAGATACATCATAATAAAGATGTGAAACTCAAGTTCATCTGAAGTGAAACGCGTTTTCTTACAGCGATAAACAACATTTAGGGATCTTGTCTATATAATAGGCTTGGGCATATTATTATCACTAAACCAATGACTTGAATAAGATTTCTGAACGTCAGGACTTTGTTTGCAGGCACCAGCCGGCGCGTGGTAGCAGTCTGTACGCGAATATTCAGACGAGGTCGCGGCTCTGACAAGGGTCCCACGTGATTTATTCTACATCTCACTTTAAATAGTACCTCAACTCAACCTGATAACACTGTTTTTTTCCCGCACATAAGACCCTGGTTTCAGTACAATACAATTATTTATGGATATAGACTCCTGTTTTCGTCGTTTTTTCAAAAGCTACTCTACAACTCTAATACTAAAACTAAAGCAAATTAACGGCGAGAATGGCATGTTGTTTCCTTTTAACCAATCATTGTGTTATTTGCCCAAGGTTTCACATTAAGTATCAGACGTACGTCTAAATGAATTAGTAATAAATATGCTTAGATTTCAATTGTGGCTATTTAAAAACTATATCATATCGTATCACTCGGCCAATTTATATTAATTTATTTATATTATTTTTTTTTATTGCTCTTTATAATACATTTATCAAAGAACAAATCTGCCAAATTTCATATTTATAACTTAAATAATAAGCATATTATTTGAAAAAATAGGTGTAATGTAGGAATCCAGAATCTTAATACGCGATTTCCCAAAAATCTACTTTTTTTGGATTGTGCCCTTATATTACTAAGGGTGCGATATATACGATTAAGGATCTATTTTTAATCGAGATTAATATTTTCGTTACGCTCACAATATAGACTACGTGTTAGATAAAGATGTATGGAAAGACAACATGAGTCTAGATTCCACACAAACGGGTATGTAACGATGATAGAGCTATATTAGTGTTCGCTATTATGAGATATTTCCAATTGATAGAGTTTCCTATGTGTATTTCAGCCAGAATATCACAAAGCTTAGCCATAATTAATTTAGTTCCGTTAGTTTTATAGCAGCGTTGAAAGTTAGCGAGAACTTATTGTTGTGAATTACTTCCATGCGAGTTACGGCATGGATACAGGACGTTGCATGGAGTTCGCTTCGTTCGGCACCCGTCTGAAACTTTTGCTTTAGCTTTCGTGACAGAGATAAATTGTGCTTCAGCGACGTGGTAGTGCCGAACTCCGTAGTTCAGTTCTAGTTCGCTTTCTCGGGGTAATTTGCTATTAACCAGTGACTTAAGTACTATTTAGGCATGTATTTAAGAGTCGATTTTCAAATAAACCAGTTAAAGGTTTAATGATATTTCTATGCAACTTTTGACATAAAATCTTACCATTTCACAAGTGACGGCAACAGACGATCCCAATGCAAGATGCTCTTTGAACAAGTCTTTCACTGGGATGGCAACAAGAATAAATTCCAATGCAGCGACACCAAGTATGCCTAGCATTGTCCACGCTTTACGAACAACTGAAAAGATACCTTTATATTATTGGGTTGTCTAAAAAGCCCGTAATGTATCAAAGCACAAATGAAAAACATTTAAAAAATTAAATATCACACAGCAACATTTAAAGAATTACAGCTCTAATTCTCGTTTGATGATCTCTTCGTTGTCAAAGTCGTGTCTACTTTAAAAATTTTGTAAGGATCGAAACAAATCTAAAGAGGCTATGTCGGGCGAATACGGTGGAGGCACCTATAACAAGCATATCCTAACCTCATTAAGGCTTCGTAAATATGTGTGTGGTTTGGTATTATCATTATGAAATACGACGCCTTTACAATTCTCCAGTTCTGGATGTTTTTCAATAGTTATAAACTTAAAATTTTCCTGCCCGTTCTTAAATAAGCGCGTTAAAATAATATTTTACAACATATATTTAAAAAGTTCTATGTTTGTTTTTTGGCCAACTCATTATTATTACGTGACATTCATAATAGTATTATTTCTTCAACATTATTATTATGTAGGATATGAACCAAACATTTGATTCAATTATTTTAAACGTAGCGGTGCCAGTTCTACAAACGAAAACTAATTAAATCTTTATGAAATATCGCTTAACTTTTCCAATTAATAAAGTACTATGTCAAATTATGTGAGCAGAAGTACTTGTATTTTACAAATGTTCATTGTTTGAAGTTTTCTAAAAAGCAATGCAACTACACATTATAACCTCTTAATATTATTATTAAAAAGTTGTATAAAACCGAACAATCAGCCATACGTACCACTTGATGGAAACTGGTAATTAATTTGAAATTACTTACTAGGTATACCGATCAAAGATACAATAATGAATGAACAAACGTCTATTTTCATTAAATTTGTCAAGAGAAAGTCGTTAAGTGGTGAAAAATTGTGACGAAGGTTCCCTTTACCTGGGCTTACTAAAGGACTGCGATGCGGCAAATAAGAAGCGTAACAATATACCAGTACAAATTACAAATGCATAAACAAGTCCTTTGACAATCACATCGTTGGATCCTCGTAGAGCCTGTGCGTAATTGTAGGGATGAATGACCACGTCCATTCCGACGGAAGAGATTGAATGAGAACGACAAATGAAAATAAATGACGTTTACATTGTTTAATTAAAGAAGGCAAAGTCTACTGGAGAGGAAATCCAGTCTTGTCGAGAGTCCATGGTTAGCCGTTTAGATTTGACACTCCAGTCAGTCTCCGATTGGGGCAATGCCAATCTTGTTAAATTTAACGCTACCAAAACGCACGCGTGTCTATTCTCCACAAAACGGAGTCCCTTTGAGCTGACTCCGACTTTTCGTGATATATCCATACCGACAACCGACTGTCTCCAGCTACTTGGAATGGACCTGTCGTATAATTGGAACTTCGGCAGATACTTTGAAACCGTGGTCAAAAATGCAGCAAGAAAGCATGGGATCCTTTCCAGTGTGAGGCGTTACTTTACACCGGGACAGTTGCTGCAGCTGTACCGAGCATAAGTCCGGTCATGCATGGAGTAATGCTGCTACCTTTGGGATGGCTCTGCTACATATCAACTGGCCACTTTGGATTCTATTGACAACTGTGCCAAGATGCTTATAGGTGACTCGGGATTAGTGGAGGCGAAGTTTTAGAGTCTTGAACACCGCCGTAAAGTTGCCTCCTCATCGGTATTTTACAGGATGTATCAGGGAGAGTGTGCGATAGAATTACTCGATTTAATTCCTCCCACCCCTTTCCATCACCGTGGGACTAGGCGTAGGCTAGGCTTCCACCCCCATGTTGTGGATATTCCAAAGATTCGCACGAAGCGTTACACTTCCACATTTATTATTTATTTAGCGAATGGCTATGGAGTGGAATTCCCTGCCTACAGACTTATTCCCTGAACGTTATAACTTGGGTATTTTCAAGGCGAGAGTGAATAGGCATTATTTAGGTGTGCATGCTCCATCGTCGAGCTCATCGTCACTTTCCATCAGGTGAGATGGAGGTCAAATGCGCACTTATGTTTTATAATAATAAAAAATCTATGAGCTAATGCTACGAACACATTGTATATATTTGTATAGTTGCTAGGTAAAATTCAAGTCATCTTAATAAATTTAAGGGACGTATGTTGCGATAGGGGTTTCTATAGTAAAAGTGATTTAAAAAACATTTCTTGTTGGTTTGAGACTACATAAACATTCCTTGGTATTTTAGGTGTATTGGTCTATTTGAAAATAAACATTGGATACAGACTCTAGTTAGTATAATATGTGAACTTACAGTAGTTAAAGAACATAAAACCATGGCAAGGCTTACTTTCGAGAAAGCCTACTGGCAACTAAGCACGTAAAAGCTAATAGACGATCAAGTAGAAATTATAAAGCAGTTAATTTGGAACTTTAGTAATAAGTAACGGAATTAGTGGCTCCGTGGTGCTCATACATGGCCAACCGAGTGACTAATTTGTGGGGAGCGAGGGGGAGCTTTGAACAACGTAACGGCCGTGTGCAACAAAGGCCGCTCTCGACAAGACGGTTTTGCTCGGTCATTCGTTTTTTACTGTTACTTTATCAACTTAAATACCGTTGATGAAAATAATTAGACGTTTTGAAAATTAAAGGAATATGGAATCTTTATTTTCGACTTTCGTTTACCTGGTACTTTTTTTAATAGTTTGGCTCCAGCAGCATATAACAACATTCCAGGGTAGAATGCGAAGGTGACCGTAAGATCGAACAGCCATAGTTTTAGACCTCGACTGATGTTTCCAAATCCATATACTATTGACTTTATTCCAATGTTCAATCTGGTAAATAAATGATTAAATAACAATTAACTTATAAACCTATAAGTAAGCCCGTACCTAAGAAACTAGTGAAAAGAAACCACTAACATAGTGCACTACAAGTTTACAATATATATTACAATATATTTATTTCCAGAAATAAGTTTTGTTCGTTTCACAAAAAAGATTTTATATACTTAAAACCCGTACTAAAACATTGAAGTGTACTTAAATATTAATTTTATATACGTTTTTAAATCTTTCCTTTCGAATATCTTGAAAATGAACACCGGAAATAAGTATGGTATCTACGTATCTTAATAGTACCTAATAATATTCAAATAGTAATAAAACAATAATTGTAATAAATATTCAATATAACTACAGTGAGTGAATAGTGAATTAAAATTAATATAGTTATAGGCGGTCTACATGACAATGTGGTTAGTTTAATTGTGTTTAAAAAAATAAAATGTTTACTTGCTTTCCGCTTTCGACGAGGTCGTATATCGCGGTATCAAGTAGCAAAATTATTAAAATAGCCACGAATATATGGTAAATGGCCCTAATGTGCAGCGAATTTTGTATGAGGACAGTTAGCGGCGATTCTCTGGGGATGAATTCTGGTTCGAGGGGTTTTGCTTCACGCTTCACATCTCCATTTTGAGATTGATTGCCTTTGTGTCTACGTACTACATTTTCTTGTGCCATATTGATGGATTCTGAAAAAAAAAAACACTACTATAGCTACAAATATATATTTATATGTATAGTAGTTTTTACTATAAATTTAATGAAATAACTATAAATTTTACCAAAACTTAACCTGTAAGACTTTTACAATGAAATACCTCATTGAAATATAATGATTATTGAATTAAACAATATTTTAAGAAAATCATATTCCTCCAGCTTAATATCACAAATCTGGGTATGGAATGTCTACAAAGCAAATAATAAAGCCTCTATTTTTTGCTTTTCAAATCTGCCCCTAGAACAGAAAAACGCGGATTTATTTTGCGCGGGAATATTATATTCCCTGTTTTTATTAACAAAAAACTTTGTATTGATATTTTTCAATTTATGCCCTTTTTCCCCAAGACCACTGGAACGATGTGTTTTTGTGGAACTTTATACAGATATATCATACTTCGTAGGTCAATAGACTCAACATTTAGTGTGAATACTGTACAAAGGAAATAGAGAAACAAATATTTTTTGTTATCCCTAAAAGAAAAAGAAACTAAGTGCTAAAGTTTGTTTGCAAAAATCGAATGATTGTTAAAAAAACTTTTTACATGCATTTTTCCTTATGCGAACTAAACGTTTTCCATGTGCATAGTTTGTGGGCAATTGCTGATTCCACGTAGACGATATCACGGGCATAAGCTTCCATCGTTTGGGATTTTTTAGTGTAACACGCACTATACACATAGAGAAATGGCACTCTACTAATATTTTATATTGTTACGTACGTACGTGTTTTACTCTTAGAAAAAAAAAACACCTAAACATCTGCAGCGCGCTGAACGAATGTCGATCCGATGTTCACTGTAAGTATAGACAGTGTATTTAATAATGTTGGCTTTCTGTGTCTTCCAGACCTACTGCAAGCTAAAACAAAAAATAAAGGCACTAAAAACAAATACAGTTAAGTTTTTTTGTTAAATTTGAGTGCCTGTAGAGTTCCCTGTAAAAAACTTCATGCAGGGAAGAACGGTCACCATCGAGTATATAACCAGAAAAAGAGACGAAATAAGGGCCATATATTCCTGGTAACACATTAGCGACATAGCTCTTATAAATAGCAACTCTCGTTTGCACTGAAATATAGACAGGCCAACTACTGACCTGTGTGTACCTACATCTCCGTATATTCCAAAAAATATTCTGTATTTATTGTAATAAAGATAATATTTTCAACAATACCGTGCTATTCTGTTCGGTTGTGTGGGAATACCAGCAAAACATCTAATTACAAAACAAACGGTATCAAATTTCATCGGTAATTAAATATTAAATATGTAATTTTGCAATTTACGTCAATTATAGCAAAGCTCAAGTTAACTGGTGATTTGAAGTGAAATAGTTGAGGACACCCGTCAATTGTTTCGAACTCGGGCTAGCCAATCGGAGCGCAGTTGTCACAGTAATGATATGGCATATGGCAGAATAGTTTTCAAACAAATTAAATGACATTTCGTCTTTATTTCTGCTTATATATTCGATGACGGCCACCTTACCTATTTCTACCGCCAAACAGTAATGTGTGCATTACTGCAGTTCAGTTTTGAAGGGTAAGGTAAGGGTCGTGTTGAGATTTTAGGCACATGGGACTTTTCAACTTATGTATCAGGAAGACGGGCGCAGTGACAGTGCCCCTAAGATCTTTGCGCTTGAAAACTCTGAGCGCCGTTGCTACTGTTATGGACGCTTACCAACCACCAGGCGCATGACTTGATCGTGCCGCCACTTGGTATCATAAAAAAATCTGACTGTTGGTGTAACAAGGCCACATCTGCAAAATGACAACTTTTTACGAGAGAGGTTTGAAGAGCCTACGATCAAAATTAGTCAATAGGTTTTTTTTATATTTAAATAGGAGAGTTTTAAAATTTCACATGTACTTACATAATTTGTTACATGTAGCATGAAATACTTTCGTCATAGCACTTTTAACGTATGATCGCACGTGGCGTTATTATACCAAAGCTACGAATATAGATTCTCTTACAAACAAAGTGAATAAGATAGATATAATATTTTACGCTACGTAATCAATTATTTAATTATAAATGTAATCTTGAAAAGTATAGATTAATAATTTAGTAACCAAGTGAAGCATTTTTATCAATATATTGTCACCGATTAACTCACACTTTACGCGATGGCACAATTATGTATAGCTGATTCATTGTATGAAGTGTAATCGTGACACGAAGGTAGGTATGAGTAATAAGATTTTGGTAGGTATTTTTATGGTATGTAGTGAGGACGAACAAGTTGTGTATCTGGGGTAACTGATACGTACATTCATAACAAATACAGAGTCACGCAAAGTTTTGAAATTGCAAAAATCTGAGGTGTATGCCACTGTATCCGTCTCCCTCAAACATAAAGTTGACAAGCCCCATGTGCCTGTACTTTCACCAGCAATCCTTACCCTCCAAAACCGGAACGTAGTAATGCTTACTAATGTAACAGTAATCTGTTTGGCGGCAAAAACAGGTGCGTGGCAGTATCCCTGGGCGAACTCTTTCATACAGAGTTCTACCACTGCTTAACTATTGGTACTATAGGGATCGCACATCAGTCTCTACATTTTTTTGCACTTACGTGTATGTCGTCTTCAGATTCAAATTCAGAGTACGTTCGTTTTTGACTGTATGCGATACTAGCAACATCTAATATTGTATTAACATATAATGACATTGTTGTGAAGTTACTATTACCAACTGTATTAAATACAAGTAATAGTTATTTGTTATGCAACTCAGCAAAGTTGCTGTTTGACGTGAGTGCTTGTATTGAAACCTGAGCGTAGCGAGGGTTGCAAGCCACGAGACTCAAAACAACTTTGCTGCCGAGCGAAACACACAACTTTTCACCTCACTATAGAGAGGAAAATGGTGAAAAGTTTACATTCGGATGCGTTCTGAATTTGCATCTCATCAATTTTTATTCTTGCTTGTATTTTTATAATTTTGTGTCATTAAGTGATTATTGAAATTATTTTAGTTCTTCGACGAATTAAAATAATTTAATAAACACAATTAGTTAACATTGTCAATTTAATGTCAATAATAATAAGAATAAAATATATCAACGGGTTCATATTACATAAATAAGTGATGTACGAAAAATCGCGTCAAGTACAATCCATCGTCAAGTTCGAATTTCAAAAAGCTTTTCCAAGCTAGCGTACAAAAAACGCTTTTGCGAGCAGATTTCCTATGAGAAAAAAAGCCTTTCGAGCTAGTGAGGTGAATAAAAATATTTTCAGTGTCAAAATTTAAGATTTTTTATTCACCCTGTTACGACATCTGGAATCTACATGGGGTATAGGCTTCTGAAGCTACGCTGTCCAATCAAGTCTACTTGTCCAAGACTTGAATTTTTGGTTATATTTCTAACAACTTATTTTACCTTAGTCTCAAATCACGAAGAATTGTGAAATGCCAATATTAAAATAAGTAAACAAAGTAAAGTTAATTAGTTAAATATTATCGAAATATTAATTTATTTTAATTTTCATGGAGTTTAAAGGAACTTTTATCCTTTAAACTCCAATTAATTAAAATAAATGAATAAATAAATTATTTATTTTGATAAATATAACTGTATCTACTTACCCAAAATATAAACACACGTTAATGGGCACAAATGGGCACTCATTCATACAGTAGCACATCCAGAGTGTTCATTTATTGAACTAAGGCACTCATCACACATCACAAACTATTACTATACAATTAATAATACAAAGTTACATGTAGCTAGTAACCTTTCACACAAGATATTGATAAAAAGGAGTAAATATATCAACGACCGACAATAAATTTTATTATTTGCAAAGATTTACGCTAATCATTTAAAGAATTTTATAAAAAATAATTATAAGTTTTTCAATTGTTTTACTTTGAACTGAATAATTCAAAAGCTATTTTATATTTGAACGGAAATTTTCTAATCGTCAATATGGTGCTACTATCTTTGAATTTATCTTTGTTTACGCACTGATGTGTTATTTTTGAAATCAGTTTTGATTGGTGGGTAGTTATAGATATACAATATTCATATTTGATGCCTGTACGAAACGCTATACCATGCAATACACGTTTTGGATCCTATCCAATTAGATTTTTGGTAGCAGTAGAGCTCTTTCTGAAAGAGAGAGAAAGAGTTGGTCCAGAGAAGTCATGCCACCTTACCTATTTCTGTCGCTATTTCGCGAAATTGCATCTCTAAATAGCAGATGTAGTTTAAGCCGCCGTGTGTCAGTAAATGCGCGCGTTAAGTAAACGCGTTTGCATCGCTGCTAAAGTCGCCGTCTATAACACGTAACACGTGGAGTGCACACGACTTGTTCGTCCTGACACTTGGTATCATAAAAAAAATCCTGATATGAGTAGAATATATACATCAATCGTTACACAATTATTTATTATTGAAAATTCGAATGATTTTACTGTCCAACATCCTAAATTCGATTGACGAATTCATCACATAAACAATTATGTTATTATCAATTGCGACCTTCGAAAATTACATATACATACACCCCACAGCAAAATCGAGCATATAATAATTATGACACGACCTAACTAAATCGGAATACTTATCAGAGATTATTATCTCTTAGGCCGAATCGGCTAGGATTTTAAAATGTAATTCGCGTTTAATACCTAGCCGATGAAAACTATCGAGTTGAATGTTGATTAATTTTACTTATAACGGCAAACTTCTGATAAGATATAACATCACGTTACATGTATTTATCAAAATTTAAAAATCACTGTATTTTTATCACTTGTAAATTCAAAGAGCCGCATGGTTTTCATGATTATTCGAGTACATTTTATTTTATTACGGAACATGCTTATTGGAATCAATATCGGGGTTTCATTACTTGTGCAAATGTTTTAATAACTTAAATCGATTATTATTTTTAAGTTCAATTGGTACCTTCTTTGGAATGTAATAATGAAGAGTGAAATGGACAGCTTAGTTATTAATTTCAAAGCGGAAGTGCGATAATGGAACCAAACGTGACCTGTATCATATCTATTTTAAAAGGAACTAACGGAAGACTCCTCTGAAACACTAAACATTGGTTAAAAATGCCTGCCTTTATTATTTTTATAAAAGGTTATACTACTTTTCTTATGTTGGTGTTCTAAAATTCACGTATACAGTCTTCAAAACGATCTATAAAAATCAATTCACATGACTGTGAATTCATTATAATCTAACTAAACTGCCAAAAAAACTGTTCGACAGAACTCTACAAAAACAGTCCAAACTACTAACACACCTACTTTTATTATTAATGTAGCGTATTATGTGATATGGGCTTAAGTGATAAATTAAATATTTTGTTAAGTAATCACAAACTGATTTCTGGTTCGATTCCCGGGTCGAGAGAAATATTTGTAAGGCTTACATCTATTTTTCTCATGAGTTTGTGTGTAATTTGTGGCATCCGCGATGCAGGGTTTCCCTAATGCGGGGCTATTAGTATGTGCGTTATTTGGAGTAATTGTTACAGTACTCAGATGTAATGATATTTAAATAAGATTCTATATGAATGTTTTACTGACAACAACAGATCAGGAACAATTTTTTTTTATAATACCAAGTGACGAGGCAAACTACACTTACCAAGTCGTACGCCTGGTGGGAAGCGACACGTCTATCCATAACAGTTGCAGTGTCACTCGGAGCTTTAATTCGCAAATATCTAGGGGCACTGTCACTGCGCCCGTCACCCTGAGACATTAGTTGACAAGTCCCATGTGTATGGAATTTCACCAGAACCCTTACCTTTCCAAACCGGAACGCTTACTGCTCACATTACCGCTTGGCGGCAGAAATAGGTGAGGTGGCAGTACTTCTCTGGACGAACTGTTTCACAAGGAGCTCTACTGCTACTAAATCTTTGTGACATCTGTACCATGGTATAACAAATAAGTTGCCTACATGTCGCTTGGAGCTTAGGGTGGTTACAATATTATTTTAGTTGTTAGTTGTTCCTACAGGTTGCAAAACATAATCTGAGAAATTAAAGTGAAATATCACAGTGTTCTATTGAAATAAGCTTTGTCAAAGGCAGTATTAATATTTTTACACTAGCATCACGAATTAGTATCTCGAATATGGGAGTATGATTATAAAATAGATAGCAAGGTTGTATATAATTATGAATACATAACGATACATTTATAAATAAAAAAATATACATTTGACACAGATAAATATTTTGTGTTTGTGATTACGATACGTTCTGTGAAGTGGCGGCCAATGTTTAGCCGTATTGTTCACATGGAAAATGTCGTGGCCGTGGTACTTCTGTTCGATCTAGAGTGTAATTTAAAACCGAAGGTGCGGAGGGAGTAGTGTCTGGTCCATAACGTAGTCTACAACGCTGAATCTTCGTTTTGACAAAATTATTATTGTTACTCACAGCATTCAATGTTGGTTTAAAAGAAAACAAATGTAGGTATTTTACATAGGTTAAATCTTGTTTGCGCTCCCTATTTGGTACGTTAGGTTAGGTTAGTATATGAAACCCCCGAAGGGGTTCCCGCCTTGTCGTGGCGGAGGGGCTCTAGTAGCCGTGGTCGATTTCATCCCACGGTGAAGCTAAGAGGAACCTACGGGGCCGGCCGATGATGGTAGGCTGGCCCGAGGCTGCACCGCTTTCGATGACGAAGTGGCGGCGGGGCCGCGGGGGAAGAGACGTGTCGGTGTCTTGTTGCCGCTAGTCTTATCCTCCGCGGCCGAACGTGGGCAGTTGGCCCGTGGTGGATGCTCCAAGGGACTCTCTTCGGAGAATCCGCGCGGACGCGCGTTAGGTGTTGCGGCGGACCCTACCATCAGATCCGCCGCGGGGGCTGAGGGAGCAGCCACTAAACTTCACAGTTCATTTTTTCATTTCATACATCGTTCATTGAGTGGATGCTGTCCTGGCCCCCCATGGCCCCTGGGTAGCGAACTCGGGGTAGTTCGTTGCCCAGCGTAGAGGGGACCAGGATGGAAGGCTCGTCTGGTGTTCGGCGAGGCTCACATTCGGAGTCGGGGGACCGATGTGTCTCCCTTCTCGGGGAGGGGCGCGGACGAGTGTAACAGCGTACCCGTACCTCCACCTACAGCGGAGAGGAGGAACACTCCGGGAGTTTAGTGCGGTCGGGCTGCTCCCCTTCAGGGTTCAGCCCAGTCCCACATAACCCCGGCTCTGCCCCCGCGGGGCCGGGGTATCTGTAAGCAGATTCTCCCGGATTAAAAAAAAAGGTTAGTATATGAAAAACCAGCCAGAAGGGAACACGTTTGCGTTCATTACGTTGTATTTTCAGATCAAATCATATTATAATTAATATAGTTTACTATAAAAATGACTAATAATAGTTTTCAGTAAAAATAAATTAAGTTGGCAGAGTAGTCAGCAAGATTTTTCGGAACTTTCAGTATTTCGTTCGTTTATTTTCGTATTTTCATTTGCACAAAGGTTTTCGTAGCTTAGTAAATGACGCAATATTCATATTTTGAATAAGCTCATTTTTTTATTTACTTTTCGGAGCTTTTATTACTATCCGTTTTTTTAGGAAGAATAAGTATGAGAACAGAATTAATTTGTTAGTTATGTTCACCATTATTCACTCTTTTCACGCATATGTTTACTTTTTCCTCTCCTAAAACTAATACTGTTTGCACTTTTTTTATTATTTATTTATTATTTTTTCCTTTATTAAGGCTGTTGAATTTTCGGTTAAACCGTTTTACATATTAGCTAGAGGTAGGTTGTGAAGTCCTTTGGGATTGTAAGTGTGAACATATTCTTATGCGCTAATGTGCTTCCGGTCATATACCTCGCGCAGTAGTTCCAAGACGTACATATATTGACGTTGGATAAACAAGGCGGTTTATTGCCGATATAGATTTACGGTTTCTTTCATCTGTTTATCATCATCTCGTAAATATGATCACAACACTATATTCCATATTGCTCGCATTGATTGCATTCGAATACCCCTTTTATGGTGGCCAGTAAAATATTATTAGGTTGGCTGATATTGAAAAATGTCTAAGAAACTCTCCATTGCCTGCTAAAAAGGCCAATTACGAAAAGGACAAATTTGTCTCATATTTCCGAACGAATTGTTTTAAAGGTCATGTTGACATTTACTGCATAATACGAGCGAGTTGGCATACACAAGTGCATTTTCCCGGTATACTAATTGATCACGTGTTCTGGTTCTGTAGCACATTTTCTTCTTTTATTTTGGTTTGCATATTTTTTAACAGGTTCTGCTTGTAACTCGCTTAACTAGCTTAACTTATTTACACAATCTAATTAATTTGTAGCGACATTCCCAGCTACCGGTTCGAATTCCGGATATAAATGGACTTTTAATAAATCCATTGATACAGTTTTAGTTTTAAATTTAGTTGACCGCAAGACTTTTTTTAGTATTTTTCGCCATTTATCTTAGTTTTGGTTTAGGCTCGATGGCGTAGACGCCCAATCGAAAAGTTACCTTCTATATAATATCATGTAGATTCATGAAATATCCTTACAATGAATTAAAAAAAAAACTCTGTATTATATTGAAAACAAAACACGACTCTCGTTTGCGAACGCAAAATCAATTTGGAAAACCAATTAAGTTGAGGATTATTTGCTGTAACTAAAGGCTTGTCGCCACGATTTCCATATATATATATATATATGTATCAGTGGCGAGGCATCCATATAACTAGTTTCCCACCGGCTTGCCTAAAATTTTCCACGTTTTAGTAGTAATTCACTAAATTTTGTGCTCAATTTT